TTTTCCTCCTTAAGAGTTGTCAAATGCTGGAATTGGCTACCGGCTGAGCTAGTTCAAGCAACTTCCCAGGAGTCCTTTAAGAGGCGACTTGATCTATTCTTAAGGACTAAGAATAGTATCTTACTATGATTTACCAATTTCTTTTTTCTCTTTTATAGTTAATATGCTTAGGTCCCTGCCTGGAGTTATTGGTGATTCACCGCTACTAGACATGGAAGCCTGTTAAGCGAAAGCTTCTTCCATTCCGTCAACAACCATTTGAACCATTTGAACTTAACCTATTTAACAGTACGTTGTGAGGAACTTTTCAAAAGCCTTATTAAAGTAGATGTAGGCAACATCTACATGTAACTTTGATATTTAAGAACGCATCAACTTTCATGGGCTCCTTACAATTTTGTGAGGCAAGAGTATGCTGTTCTAAAGCCATGCTGCTTTTCAGATATAATCTGATTTACATCTAGATACATAAACAACTACTTATGAATAATTTTTTCTAAATTTTCGACAATCATGATGGTTAGATTTATAGATCGGGGGTTCTGAGGTTTGTGTCGCGTATCCGTTTTGAAGATATAGCTTATTATAGCATCCTGTTACTCTTTTGGTTATCGATCCTGGGTTACAGATAGATTGAAAAATACGCTTGAGGGATTCGCAAAGAGGTGATCTTTTTCCCTTAGTAACCTAGCATGCATTTCATCGGGTCACATGGATCTGCTTACATCAAGCTTATTTTGCAGATCAAAGACATGGTCACGGTGTTCAGAGTGCGTGTGAAGGGATTTCTGAACATATTCTAAACCAGGACTGCATGGTCACTCTTACTTAGGAGTGAGAAATAATAGAAGTGACGTTATCCTAATAGTGGGTCAATATGAAATTTAGTAAGTGTGACTCGGAGTCCGCAACGTACCTAGTTGCTTCGTTCACACGCTGGATTAGAGCACATGTGATAACCGCATTAACTAGTTTCTGTTCTAAAGGATATTCTAACCATCCAGTTCTCGGGTTTTTTGTGTCTGCCGTAGGTATACTAAAGGCTCCTAACAATAAACATAGACTACTTGATGATCAATTGTTGAAACTATCTAGTAAGACTTCATTCAGCTCTCGGTTTAGAAGGTTCTTGTCCTTTGCATTTCAAGCGGCAACTTACTAATTAGTATGTCCCATTTTAACGGGATGTATTATGAATAACGTTAAGGAGATAGTACTTCGGATAAATAGAACTACTCCACCTTTACACTTCTACTAGTGTGAGACTTTGAAATTCCCATTCCTTGCTGTCTACGGACTGCGTCAGCCATGTTCCTAAAACTACGACAACCTCCGGCTTGATAGAGTCGATCTGTGTACCTAACTCTGACAGTTTTTGCTTTTTCAGCATATCGTCTTCTTATCAGTCAGTCAGCTGCAACGTAGGACCAGACACGTATATGCATCGGCCCAAGTTGCCATACCGCATTAGCACAACAAGATGAACACCGGATTCATAGGAGTAGTTAATTCAGTGGTGGTAATATATAGAAGAAAGATTGTGTATAAGGAGATAGTACAGGAAGAAAGAATTAGTTCCTAGAAAGATATGAAGCGATTTTAATCTCTTAATTTAAGGAAGACAGAGAGTGTATACACCGACGCCATTGTGATCGATTCTGAGCCATGTCACCAAGAGTCTCCAACCATTGGTTACGATAGTCACGCGGACCCCAACTAGGCAGTCTGAATCTCCCAACATGACTCAGACCAGAAGTTAGTGACTTCAAGCACTGATGCCACGTTTTGGTTTGGCCGCCCCTAACTTTCTTCCAATTATCCCCTGCACTAGTCAGCATTGCGCGTCGTGGTAATCTGTGTTCAGGCATACGCAACACGTGGATCGTCTTCTTATGATGTATCTCAAGGAGCAAGTCTTTAGAGACAGAAACTCATGACCTCTTTAGTTTCCGTCCATTCTGTAGTATCGAGTCCCTTTCACTGAGATAGATACTAATATTAGCAGCTTTGTTCAATTCTCTTTCAAGTCCTTTTCGCTGCTTAGTCCATAAACCTTTAGCAAGGTGACTCCAGATATATTCTGGGTCATTATACGGTTTGATAGCTCTTCTATCAAGCTAATGTCATTTTCAAAACGAGCTTTGAGCTTCTTCTATTCTTGACTATATAAAAGACAATCAACTTGTCACTTTGATCAGTACCTGATTTCTTACCAACTGTTTGGAAGACTGACATTTCTTTACGGACATTAGGTCGTTTATTATTCTTGATCTGTACTCGTTCATCAACTTTCAGTAAAGTATCAATCATATATTCATTTTCTTTCGGAATATCACCTTATGATGGCGATTGAAATCAACTAAATTTATCAACTTGTATGCATCTAAAAAGGAAACAAAGAATTAAAATGAATTATTCTTATTTTCTGACGAACTCTATTCTCGCTTTACTTAAATTTACCGAAATATCCCATTCCGCTGGTGATGTGAAGATTTGAAACTCCAACTAAAAACTCTCAATCACTATTGACAGTCACGAACCCATGTTACGTGTAGAAATGGTAACTCCACATCTAAAGAATGTGTTGTGTCTTATGACCGTTGGCCAGGATAACTTCCCAAACCATCAGTCACAATCATAATTCGGTCTGTTTCCCGCTCAATTGGTAGTTTTTACTACTTTGAGCCTACAGCTAAGTTCCTTTTGGTCAGTTACTAGCAAGCTTCTCAAAGTACCCTGCCTTCAGACGAAGATCAACAATGAACTTCCACAGACCTGGTTTATTTATAGACATGCTGAACCAAACATAAACAAGCTTAAAGTTATTGTGGATAGGGAAAATAATGAGTAATATACTGAAAACACTCTAAGAAGATCTGTCAGGATTGTGACAGTAGTTTATTCTGCCTAAATCCCCAAAGCTGTACTTAACTTGGAAAATGAAGACAGTGTTCTCTACTTTACTTCAGGATTTAAAGACTTTCGAAAATACCCATACGAATTGTGAAACCAGTACATGGTACTTAGCCCCCAAATGCCCTGATACGGCCGAGAGTGGGGTGGGCCCGCCCTCCCCGTCGAAATGCTCTCACATGGCCATGCGTATACAGCCTCTGACAGGGAAGTCCTACTCAATGCCTTCTCATAGCGTGGGTGTTGTTTACGAAAATGAGAGGACGAAATGCGAATGTCTGGATCCAAAACCAATGGTGCACATGGGCTACAGTATCCTGAGGGGACGAATGGCGTATGAACCAATCGTTAGTCACCGGCTACCATGGGTCTGCATCTCCTTACGATGCTCCACTGCCTTGTGGATCAGATCTTCAGGTCGAAGGCTCGGGATGTGGCCCCCTAAAACAACCACCTTCGGTCTGGGCGCACGGGCAGGATCACAGTCCTCACACAAATCAAATGAGATTCGTGTGGCGCATGTGTATTTGGTGCCCTCTTGTACCAATATTTATGTGTTCAAATAAATAAATAAAACCTAGCCCAATTTACCATATCTCTACCTCCTTGAGTAGATGAAACAAAAGTGATGTTGTGACTTTTAAGACTATAACTATCCCTGAAATTTTCGGATGCACTTATTTGTATCCAGTCTTAACACAAACCACAGAGGTAACGGTCAAAATTTGAAAGTGTGACGAACCAAGCTTGGTTGGTGACTTTATATTTGCCAAGAGTACTCAAGCTTTAAGATCTAATACCATTCGAAGTGAATCAAATGGCTATCCATTTTTTCGAGGAGACTCCATGTTTACTAAGGACTTCACATAACACTAAAAATGTTCCTAGTTGTTTCCGTACACCAAGTTACCACCTGCCAAGCTAGAGGGATCGTCAACCAAACATAACTAGATACGGATACTCGTTGGACAAGAGCTTCTTTTAGCCCGTCTGCAGTTATGTATAGTGCTTGATCACAAAGTTGATAAGGAACCCTCTTCGAAGGAATGGGAAGAAACTACAACCATATTCTTTTCCGTGAATTTTAGATACTGCAAAAAAGGTGGGTACAGTTTTATGAATATGCTCTACACACTACAGACGTTCCCTCGCAAGTGATTTTCAGTACCAATGCGTAGAAGGATTGTCAGCGGAATACAAATTGGGTCAAACCTTGTTCCGTGCAGAATTGTGTTGGAACACACTGAGTGACCATTTCTTAGCCCATCATCACTAGCCGATACCTGGAGAAAATTCTAGAATCTCCTTATGTAAAATCACACTTAAACAATGGTTTCTCCTATTATGCTTTTTCCTCCCATTCTACCTTGTTATTTGAAAAATAATTACGTCCCTGCCCAACTGTGTACTGATTTGTGGACTTGTAGAGTTAATTAGTGTTCAAAATAATACTAAGAAATAAGAGTAACTGAGTTGTAATGCGATCATGACAAGGAGATTGAACAATGAGATATCATGAGACAAAATAGTGACATAACTCTTCGTGATGAAGATTGATCTATACCTCAATCAGCTACACACAACCACTATTCAGAGAAATCACGGAGAACAAACAGTCCCACCAAAGTTTTGAGTAAAGATGATTTCGAAGGGCATATGGATTGTGAACTCTAAAAACCTAAACAGAAACTAGAAGATAATATGTGGTCAATTAAATGCAGGACCTCAACTGGAAGCGATATTTAATCCGTTACGCAGAATGAAATCAAAGTCTTTTACTATCCTGGATGTCAGGAGTTACATAAGTGGTAGGTAGTAAAATCTACCGCCAACTCAACACGTTTACATTTATACTTAGGCTTGACCATATTTACTGCCTATGTTCATTTACTACTGGTTGTGCTGATAGTGAGTGTAAAAATCAATCCCAATTCTAAATAACCGAGTTACTAAACCTAAAGACAAAACCTGCCGCAATTAACGCTAATACAGAGTAATGATTATTTACTTGTGCTTGAATTTCGCAGAGATGAGATCAGAATTGTAGCAAAACAATAAGGAGCTTATTAAGTACTGAGAACACAAGAGAAGTTGCAACTGTATATTGTGGTGCAAAACTATGGCACTTAACAGATTAAGATTTTTAGCAAACATGACAATCTAAACAGACTAGAAACTTAAGATTATAACGGTATTTAAAATAATCTATGAGAAATGACTAACAAAATGCCTTCGAAATTCCCTATATATTTAATAGGTACCAATTAATGCGCAACAATAGGTTTTATAAAATGTCCAAAATATGTCATATAACAAAACTTTACTGCATAAACAGTTGGATCGTATTTTGTGGGATAATTCAAACTGCTAGATGTTTAAAAAGAATATAATTTTGTTATTAACTAACGAAATCAAAAACTTATGCTTAGTTTAAATCATTTATAGCCAAAAAAAATGAAGAAACAAATAGAAAAATATATGGATCAAAATCACTTGAAAAAATAAGGATAACGGGTCAGTTAGAATTCGAAATAAAAAAAATTATGACTAGTTGAAACGAAATGATCGATAACACTTCCTCATATTTAAAATTCTGAATAAGGTGTGCTGGAGTCAATATCTACATTATCGGCTGATAAAAACTTGTTTGCTAAAACTGAATTACTTGGTGTATAACAAAATCCACTGTCGTCGTTTTCTGTTTTACATCCACGATCTGCCTGACTGATATCTGACTCAAGATCATTCATATGTAGCAAAGACGGATTAGCGATATTCTGGGCACAAAAGTAAAACGATAAACTAAGTGATTTCTTTGTATTATAAGGGCGAGAGAAAACTAATAATCAGTTTATCAAAAGAATGACACTTGAAATCGTACAAAGTAGTAAAAAAGCTTAGACTTGTACAAGTCAACTTAACAAAACATCTTAAAATGACTTATTATAAATTATGTCAATAAATCATTTTTGAGTGAACCGGCAGTAGTCTTATACCTTGAAATTAAAAAGTACCATGATGTACCAAGATTATTTGTTAATCAATACTTTGTGGAAATAAATATCAATATAAAAATCAATTTCGAAAGGCATCGTGAGGTAAAATAATACTTGCACAAATGAATTAAAAAGGCGGAAACAACTGAGTTGAAAATTCTGTTTTACAAAGTCACTGTCAGTAAATCATTGACAGACTCTAGAATAGAGGGCAATAATAAAAATCCTTTACACACAATAACGTGCTGTTATCGGTTCACATGACATATAAAAGTAAACGCTGATTCAAAAGCATTATTTGTCAAAGACCTGTATCCAAAAGTCAGCGGACCCGAAGGGAGTGATAATCTCATCAGTGTATTAACACCATACTTGAATAGTTCTTACAAGTAGGCGATTCGAACCCGCAACCCACTGATAGAAAACTAAAGACCAATATAACCCGATAGATACAATCACAAAAAGTAAGAAGCCATATCATGAAAAACAACTGATAATATTAACTAAACACTGAGGGATGTAGGTACATTCAGTCGATGAGTCCCAAATAGTACGAGACGCGCGTCCTCAATTCCACCGCTAGCCACAATCCATCTTTGCTTATTGACGATGAAATGTTTACAATACACTTCAGGTCGTTAAGAATTAAATTTGGAATCACATATTAGCAACCTCGCTTACAAAAATGTACCATTCCCTAAACTGAACATAAACAATACGTCAGATTTATTAACTAAAATTAACCGAATAATACAATAATCACATGCTATGACTTTATGAATGCCAATAGAAAAAACAACAAACAGACTAAACAATGTTTAATAGTGCAAATACAAGGCCAAAAGACTAGATAAAAATATATTGAATGAAAAAAATCTATAACTGATAAACGGGACAGTTTACATGAAACTGCAAAACAAATTTTTGAAAAAAACGATCCCATTTAGTGATTTGTTGTCATTTACAATATATATTTAGATTTTAATATACCAACCTAGTATATGATACAAAGAAGCAGACTGAAATAATACTAGATAAAATCTAAAGGTTTTTTATTTAGTTAAGACCAGAACAAAACAATGGGCTAAATAGAAATAAAATTACCTTGAATTAAAAAAGGACTATTATATTTCGGAGTGTATCGGAATATCGCTGTCTGGTAGTAAAACGATATGATCGAATGTGTTGCATTTACCAGAGTGAGATTTGTGGCAGATTTATATAAGGACTAGTGATACTGTCCTGTTACCAAAATTCAAACACTTAGAGCTGGGGTCAAACCTGAGAATTACTAGTTGGGAACCGGATGTATTAACCTGGGTCATGTACAAACACTTAAAAAGACATAGTGAACATTCTGTACAGTGTTTAGACCAATCAACTTATAAACAATCAAAATCCTGTTGAAATGGATTGAGTGTTATAATAAGATGAAAAGATTACATTAATTCAGTGAATGAGCACTGATTCCTTCATCAAATAAATGTTTGTTATAAACAATTTAACTAACTGAAGAAAATAGTTACACCATATTAGATGGTTCTAGTTAGAGGACTGAGTTTTGTATATACAATTTACGACTAGGGCTAAAATATAAGGTAATTTGCATTACGACTTGATCCAACGTAATTTGAATGATTTGTATAGTGCTGTAAACAATAAGCAACGAGATCCGGCGTCATTTTCAGTTTGAACGACGAAATATGGGTCAACTGTTAATAGTGAAGTTTTATTGGTTGTAAACTGCTAAAACACATACCAATCAAACATGAAACTATTGTTGAATTAAACCTGAAACCTGGTTAACAAGAATGTTGTATAATGGACTCAATGGAACACCAGTTTGATGATTAGAAGCTTAAAGCCTTCACAAGTCCCTTACAACTCACGTTATCATTTCAGTATACAAAGTTACTAAGGACAGGAATCCAATTTATACGAATGTATTAACAAATTAGTCTAAAGATCGCTTCATAAACAAAGTGTTCTTAATCACAAATCGCTTATTTGAATAAACCCAACCATTGCTGCTACTTTGATATAGTAAACAGGCTGACTTACCTATCGTGATGAACCAATCGAGCTATAGTGGCTGGAACAATCGTTCCTCAAGGTCCTATCTAACCACGCAAGTCAGTCAAAGAATAATAAGACTGAAAGCAGCAAACTCAAGGTCCGAGGGCGAAATCGTATTGCTGACTGTACAGAGGTGTGACAGTAGTAAGGTATTTCCTTTAGACAGAAGGCATGACAGCGTTGCTATCTTCCCATAAAGAAAGCAAGGGTTTAGAAAAGGTCGACCCTAAAATTGCACACCTTGCCTTATCCCACTGATTTCCGTCTCCGGTGGTAAGGTCCCAACAATTGAAGAGCTAGCACGAAAACTCACAAAAAGGTCGTGTGTGACCAGCCTCAAGCAGTTGTCCCTTTGGCACTACGGTCACGCTTTCAGGTCACTAAGACCAACTATAACCCGATTTTGTTTTCCGGTACATCTAGAAGAACCATTCCATGGTGTGGGCGACTGGGAAGCGATGACCGCCTTCATACTTCTAACAGCAGTCAAGATCACTGTATTCATAACCAATTTACCTCTTCAATTCCCATTATTCCTCCCACTTTGACTTCTAACTATAAACTTCCTCTTTTGACTCAAGTGTCACTGTCGTGTGTGCACTTCTTATCTTATCCATCACATGTCTGTAACTTATTTTTGGTCTGACTATAAATATCGATTCACTCTTGGTTAAATCGAGTCGGCTTACTCGCTTTCTCCATTGCGCGTTATTCCGCTTCACTCTCTTCTCACCGCTTTATTCGTTTCGTTTCTCCGATCGATTGTCTGTTAAGATTAACAATTGTATGAAATATACTCATTCAAACTTCATTTTTGTATTCGACTTATTTAATTTCGTCCTCTACTAACACGAGTTAAGTCGATGATTATAGTCAGGATGTATATTTAGACAGCAATTATTTGATAGCAATCAGAAACGATCTACCTGCAGTCATATCCTGGGTCCAAGTTGCAACACCTCATTAGCACAACAAGATGAACATCTAATTCATAGTAGTCACTTCAATGGAAGTAATGGATAAAAGAAAGATTGTGTATAATGATATAATACAGGAAGAAAGAATTAGAAACAAAGGTATAAAGCAATTATAATCTCGCAGTTTAAGGGGAGACAAAGAGTGTATACACCTATACCATTGTGATCGATTCTGAGTCCTCAAATGCCCTGGTACGGCCGAGGGTGGGAAGAGTCCGCTCTCCCTCTCGAAATGCTCTCACATGGCCACGCGTATATAGCCTCTGACAGGGAAGTCCTACTCACTGCCTTCTCGTGGTGAGGGTGTTGTTTACGAAATTGTGAGGACGAAGAGCGAATGTCCGGCGCTTTACCCGGGTTGGTGGACATGGAGAGTCCACCTAGGGGAGTTGGAAAACCCTGATTTCAAACCAATGGAGCACATGGGCTACAGTATCCTGAGGGGACGAATGGCGTATGAACCAATCGTTAGTCACCGGCTACCATGGGTCTGGATCTCCTTACGATGCTCCACTGACTTGTGGATCAGATCTTCAGGTCAAAGACTCGAGATGGCCCCCTTAAAACAACCACCTGATTCGGTTTGAGCACCTGTGCAGAATCACAGTCCTCACACAAATCAAATGAGATTTGTGAGGCGCATGTGTATTTGGTGCCTCCTTGTACCAATCTATGTGTTCAAATAATAATAATAGTAATAGTAATAATAATAATAATAATAATTTATTTATTTATTTATTTTAACACATAGGTATTGGTACAAGGAGGCACCAAATACATATGCGCCACACGAATCTCGATTGATTTGTGTGAGGGCTGTGATACTGCTCGGGTGCCCAAACCGAAGCAGGTGGTTTTCTTAGGGGGCCACACCCCGAGCCTTTGACCTGAACGTCTGATCCACAAGGCAGTGGAGCATCGTAAAGAGATGCAGTCCCATGGTAGCCGGTGACCAACGATTGGTTCATACGTCATTTGTTCCTTCAGGATACTGTAGCCCATGTGCATCATTGGTTTGGGATCCGGTTAAAGCGCCGGACATTCGCTTTTCGTCCTCTCATTTTTGTAAACAACACCCCCGCCACGTGAAGGCAGTGAGTAGGACTTCCCTGGCAGGGGCTATGTACGCGTGGCCATGTGAGAGCATTTCGAGAGGGAGAGCGGACTCTCCCCACTCTCGGCCGTACCAGGGCATTTTGGGGCAATAATAATAATAACATGTCACCTAGAGTCCACAACCAAGTAGTTTGCATCTACCAACATGACTCAGACTAGAAGTTAGTGACTTCAAGCACTGATGCAACGTTTTAGTTTGGCCGCTCCTAATTTTCTTCCAACCATCCCCAACACCAGTTAGCATTGCAATCGTTGTTCAGGCATACGCAACACGTGGTCCAACCATCTCAGTCGATGAACATTCACAACCTCATCAACTGATTTACCTTTATTCCCTAATACCCTGCGTCTAACTTCACTATTACCTACCCAGTGATCCCAGCAGATACGAGCAATATTACTAAGACATCTGTGATCAAATAGTAGTAGCTTACGATTATCTTCTACTCTTAATGGTCACTTTTCGAAGTCCTAAAAAAAGACGAACTGCTGCACAGTATACTCGTCCTTTAATGATAGACAGATACCTCGTCTTCGCCATAAGTGACGTAAATCGGCAAAAACCAAACGAGCTTTTCGAATCCGTGCTGAGATTTCGTTAGACACCAACCCATTAGGGCTGATCAGACTTCTGAGATAAGTGAAGTTGTCGACGCGTTCGACTACTTCACTAAATATCATTAGTTCAGGTGTTGACGCAAGCCAGTCCTGAAGCAACAACTTGCATTTAGAGAGGGAGAAACGCATCTCAAACATCCTGGCATTGATGCTTAATGCTATCATAGGACTCTGCATTTTATAAGCGTCTTCACCAAACAGGACTATATCATCTGCGTCTTCTAAGCCAATAAGTAAACCTCCTGGAAGGAGATCAATGCCCGAGAATTTAGTCGATGAGAACGTTATTTTCAGTAGGTCTATGATGAAATTAAACAGAAATGGAAATAGTGGACAGCTTTGACGGACACCGTTTGAGGCCGCGAAATTAGATGACAGTGCGCCATAAGCTCCGGCTCGACTGGTAGAGTTAAAGAGACCACAAGGTTTATTTACTTCTGAGGTACACCTTTCAATGACAGATACTGCCACAGAACCTCTCGGTCTACAGAGTCGATAAAAACTATCATTGTCGGACGCCGTTAAGTATGTATTGAAGTATGTCTGAACACCGATTACCAGGAAGGGCAATGCTGACTAGTGTTAGGGATGGTTGGAAGCAAGTCAGGGGCGGCCAAACCAAAACGTGGTATAACTCTATAAAGTCATTAACGTTTTGTCTGAGCTATGTTGGTAGATGCAAACTACTTAGTTGTGGACTCTGGGTGATATGGCTCAGAATCGATCACAATGGCATAGGTGTATACACTCTTTGTCTCCCCTTAAACTGCGAGATTATAATTGCTTTATACCTTTGTTTCTAATTCTTTCTTCCTGTACTATATCATTATACACAATCTTTCTTTTATCCATTACTTCCATTGAAGTGACTACTATGAATTAGATGTTCATCTTGTTGTGATAATGAGGTGTTGCAACTTGGACCGATGCATACATTTTCCCGATCCTACGTTGTAGCTGACTGAATGACTAACTTTGAATATAAGTACTATTAAAATATTATCATAAGTTACAGATATTTTATACGGTGACAATCTTGACCTCTTTTTCGATATCGCGAAACACTAAGTCTATATGATTTATTAATGTTCAGTCAAAAAACTAAATTAACCTACCTTTTGTAATGAGTAAGAAAGTAATTCTAATCCACAGTCCCTGGCTGTTGGTAATTCAAACGAATTTAATCGTAAAATCAAACCACTCAAACTATCAGCTCCCTTCGAAAAAATTGAATTTATCATTGAAATAACTGGATAACTGTTTGTAGAAAATCGATGACATTTCTTCCTAGCATATGAATCTAAGGACATTGATATCGTTTTACCAATTGATTTATTTAGTGTATTAGTCGAGGTTTGTTCTGTTTCGTTCATTGTTTCAAGATACCACTGTGACTCTTTTAAAAGATCCAATAAACCGAGTAAGTGATAAGTACCAATATGGGACTGTTCCAAAGCCCCTACACATCTAAAAAGTACACCGAAATAAAAAAAAATGCATCATCAATGAAAACCAAATCGTACGAGAAAACCATTCAAATTGACAGTCTACGAAAGACTATAAATTAAATCATATTCAAAACTGACAATTACATCGTCATTTAAAAGTAGAATTTTCTCGCCCGACATACGGTATTAAACTTAACCATCAATTTTCGTGATATTAGCTATCGAATTACTGTTAAAATTTTTCGATGTCCACAAAATTATTACCACCAACAATTGAATACTTTATTGGGGGAAAATTGATTACTGTGAAGGCAAATTTATAGAGTATTGTTTTCTCTTGAAATTTTAAATATCGCACTGTTATACACAATCTACATCATGTTTCCTTCAATTCCCTACCACTGTTGAAATCTTTATCAAGTAGTTTTTCCTACAGTTGATATTTCTATGCTACGCGGAAACGTGATATACAGCAACATGGATCAAAACTGATTTGTGCCATACTAGTTACCCTTTTGCTTTAGCCGTGTTCAGGTGATAAAAATTTTGATATTTTCATTGTTCTTCATTTATTTTTCCCTTCCTAACTCATGAGTTTCTTACTTATATTATTTCCATTTCTTTGATTAAGAAAACGATATGTATAATCATTTTTAAAAACCGTATATTTATCATGTCCATATAATCACATTAAAGATAGTCTTAAATACATGAAATTAGAACATCCACACCATACATTATTAGCTATTAATAAAGCTGAGATGTAATGAATTTATGAATGAGCCACAGATATATTGAACTGGTACTTGTCAATTATTCACTAAAATTTTGAACGACAGCTTGTGACAGCCTAGTTTGAGACAAGTATATATATATCAGACAGAAAAGAAACTTTTGTCAATTTCATTGCAGTTCCATTTTTTATAAAAAAGTAGCACACCTCAAAACTAGGTAAAATTTATTCTAGTTGCATATTTAGTTATTCTTTTGTTTATTTGTCAGTTTTTCAAATGGTTTTTCTTCAAATTTGCTACTTTTCTCTGGGTAGTGAATTTCATGAAGCCCTGCTACAATCATAAACAATAATAAAAATTATTGAACTTGAGAATATAACTTATAAAACTAAATTTTCAAATTTAAAGTATTTATTGTAATGAAAAAAAGAATGAAATGCAAAGATTTGGTATGCTTAGAATCGAGTTTTACATACAGAAAAAAAACGCAAATTTGTACGTTAGTTATTATGAAGACTAATTACCTGGAAATAACATATATTAGAAATTTGATTTGTAACCTGAGAGGAAACCCAAACAATTTAAAACTAAATGAGCACAAAGATGATCCATACACCCAAAGATGACTTTGAGCACAATTTAAATATGATTGTGAAATTTTTGTGCCATCTCTGATCAGTGAATTTAATGAAGAAGGAAACGAAGAGTTAATCGCCTTATACAATTCATTTCGACATGCACGGCAGTGAGCTACATTTAAACCGATCCCAGAACCATGAATTGATTTTTTTGGTGCAGAACCGATACATTTAGACGATCTGACCGTTTGAACAACTGAACTTGCTTCAGAGGAGCGATTTTGATTACGATCTGAATCATTGTGTATTTTACTGGATACAAGTGAATCACAACTATGCAACCGACGAATCCGAGGAGAGTTTCTTGATTTCACTCGAGAAATATTTGAAAATTCTCTTGGAGTTTGATGTATACGACAAGCAATAAAACCTGTTAAGAAATGTTACAATTTAAAATAAATGTAGTTGAGCTAATTTGCTTTAGTAAATCCAATTAATTCGGATGAAAAAATCGACTGGGCTTCTGGTAAGACCATGAAACTTTATTAACTGTTAAATCATAATAATAATAATAATAATAATAATAATAATAATAATAATATGTACTCAGTATGTTTTCTTTTTTATCGAAAAGGTAATACGCTATACATAAGTTAAGAACGGCATCTGTGATATGATAACAAAAATGAAACATTTAGTTAATCTAATATGTTCAGTAACATAAATGATTAGAATTGAGAAATAAAATTGTAGAAGTACATACAACTAAAGAACAAAAAGACGAAAACAAAATTCAAATATCAAGAAACTAAAGAGTGATATTGAACACTGGAAATTGTCAACGAATACAACACTGACAAAGGTCGAAAGCCATACCTTAATAGCATAGGGCCTTGAATGTTAGTAATGGTAGTTTTTGTGAGCACGAAACACTGCTAGCTATTACTGCTACAATCTTAGTTGTCAATCACATTAAGGATCGAAAACTTAAATTTATAATCGGAGTTACTCAATTGGTCTAATGATTATTTATCTTTCCTGCATAAATAGTTAAAAGGAGGCATGACTGTCAATATATATATATATATATATATATATATATATATATATATATATACTGATAGTCACCTGTCAAAAGAGTACCGATAACGTCTATCATATATTATTTGGTCAAAAGTGTTAGTAACGACATTATTTAAAAACAGTGAGAATCTTTCAAGTAATTAGGTGATCAAATACTACAAGTACAGTTCGACATAAGTTCTTCAATTCTCCTAGACGAAACTATAGTGTCATTAGTTGTAGAAACATAGTAGGAGATAGTTTGACAGATACTGTCCTCAAATACAATTTTATTAGGATGAAATTAAGTGTAGAATTATGCACTGATTCAAATGTGATTTTCATTAATTAAAATGTTCATATGTATTAGCTTTGTATAAATTCCGTTCAGAATGACAATGTCTTTTGATAATAAGCACTATGATTAGGTTTGTGTGTAAATGAATTTCTTCAAAGGGTTAATTTTGAGTTCTTATCAACTCGCACTTTTGCTTTCAGTTAATGGTCAAGGTACAAGAAAACAGGAAGCAGTCTCGTTTATTGGCACTGAAGTTGAAGTTCGAAATTGTTAGCTAAGTGCACAAACGTTGGACACTCCATAGTAATACCTCTAGCAGTTTGGATACGTTTAATGTAGTGGTTTTTGAGAGCCGATCACCGTGAATATGGTTGAATTTGAAAACTGACTAAATAAATGAACAGATAGTTATTCTGTGGCATGATGAATACGGTTAACATCTAGATGTTTTGTGTTTAGCCTGTGATATTATATATTATTGGTTAGAGTTAAAAATCGAGTTAGACGAAGAACATTGCCATGGTGAGTGACATATAGCACAAACTTTGGTTCAATCCTTCTTGACAATTGTCTCCAGCCGCCTAACACGCCATATCAAGTCACTTAAGCAAGTGGCCACATTGTAACCCAGTCAATATAATTTAATCAGAACTAGGGATTGGAAAACCATGATATTGATTATTAATCAGTGACTAATCAATGTTATTGTGACCCAGATTTATGACGTCCTTAGAAAAAGAACTAGAGAAACGAATAAGGATTTCATGAGAGGATTTTCAGATCACTGTTTCTTTTCTGTGACTATCACTTGTGTGAAAGGTAATAATACAATACAGATATCCAAAATAAAGTAGACAGAACCCCTAAACCCGTGTGTTTTAACAACCAAGCTACCGTCTTACTATTAAGCCTTATTCGTTAATTCTTCTATATCCACATAGTATTACATAATTTCGCAGTATTTGTGTCCGAAACTTCCTTGTAGTGAAAAACTTTATTCTTGATATCTAGAAATCAACCGCTTTTTTGAAGGCATTATATAAGCAAGAACCAGTAAGACACAACAAGCTTACCACGTGTAATTAAAAACCGTAATGCATCATCATAACCTTGGTTGGCTAAGTTAACCAACTGATCAGGAGACATTGGCCACACCATTCCCACTAAACGTTTAATATTTGTCAAGTTGAAACTCATTGAAAGATTCAGCAATGAGATTGAACCTAATACATCTTCGTACTTTTGTGGCTGAGCTCTATGATACTGTGGGCCCCATTTTGATTCCAATGGACATATATCTGAATCACCAGCGAATGGACTAACTTTAATAGTTTGTTGGTTTATGCTAAGTAAATTGTTTGATAAACCGCCATCGACCACAAGCTAAAAAATGGATACACCAATGTAATCATTATCATTAGAGTATGCCTTATATAGTATTTCAAATTTGTTATACGAACCCTCACTACTTACATCAATCACTTTTAAACTGTAATTGAAGTTACTCTATCTAAACAGAAAGTGGTTTCATTATTGGACAGTAGTCCTAACTTAGAAAGAAATTTGGATTTCCAGTTTAGTAAACATTATGTTTCAAAAAATAGCTGAGATAAATATTAACAATGTCTACAATTATGAATATATAAAAATAGCTCAGTAAACCGGTTTACTTTCAGTATAATCTCTTATTATAGAAGAGATAATAAACTAACAAGTATTCGGAAACATATTGAGTATGATAGATAGTTTTCTTTAAAATCAGCAACTAAATAATTTTCTAGATTCCTGAAAGACCTCAACAAAAATGTGGTGCTGTTAACGATGAACTTAGAAGAGATAAGTTCTGAACAGAACGAACTGACCATAACACTGGAAAACAAAGATATCTAGTAATGAAATAAATATCTGGAGGAAATTAGGAATCTTTACTTTTCAAACAGTATGCTTGTTATTATGTATGAAAAAAGAAGTATCCAGGACTGTCAAGAGGACACTACTACTGATTCAAACAGAATATATTTCGAGAAGTCAGTATTAAATATATCAGTCGTCGAATTGATTGATTAACAAACTGATCAGACTTAAGAATATGAGCATAATAACAACCAGTTGAAAAATTAGACTCAGTTCACAACACAAAAACGATAAGTAGAACAACGATAGCTTAAATGAACGGGGCTAGCTTATCATGCCTACGAATAATATACACTTGCGAGTCTAACAGAATTTGAGCGACCGCCGTCTGAATAATTCATGTAAATAACCGCATTAAAAGATTCTATACAAAAGACCAGTACCTTATAAGTATGAAGTTGGGGGAAGTATACCAAACGGAAGCGATCTATCAGACATCAAGCAGTTATAGATCGAAAACGTGTGTAACTTAATCAATTTCATCTAACACATAACGCTTTATTTATTTATTTTAACACATAGGTATTGGTACAAGGAGGCACCAAATACATATGCGCCACACGAATCTCGATTGATTTGTGTGAGGGCTGTGATACTGCTCGGGTGCCCAAACCGAAGCAGGTGGTTTTCTTAGGGGGCCACACCCCGAGCCTTTGACCTGAACGTCTGATCCACAAGGCAGTGGAGCATCGTAAAGAGATGCAGTCCCATGGTAGCCGGTGACCAACGATTGGTTCATACGTCATTTGTTCCTTCAGGATACTGTAGCCCATGTGCATCATTGGTTTGGGATCCGGTTAAAGCGCCGGACATTCGCTTTTCGTCCTCTCATTTTTGTAAACAACACCCCCGCCACGTGAAGGCAGTGAGTAGGACTTCCCTGGCAGGGGCTATGTACGCGTGGCCATGTGAGAGCATTTCGAGAGGGAGAGCGGACTCTCCCCACTCTCGGCCGTACTAGGGCATTTGGTGGATAAGACGAATAAAAAACATGATTTCCTTGATAGACAAGGCAATATCACCCGGAAATCTGTATCAGTTTAAGTTTCCGCACCTAATATCAAAAGTGAGAGAAGATTAACTGGACAAAAATTGAAGGAATTGAAATGAATATGCCAACGGCAGTGGGAAGTTACGTCAAGGAAATAAACTTCAAAGGGGATATATATGAAAGAAATAGAAAGCGTGTAAGAATACTAATCTCAAAACTCAAGAGAGCAATCGGCATATCTACAACATACACATTTTAAGCTACTACATCATAATTCGTCAAGCATACATTTAGATCATTGTGTGGATGCCAACTAAGAAATTTGTTTTTTAAGACTACAGTAAATGACTTCACTGGGTGTCTCCATGTTTTGATCTACCCAATTCTCAACCTCTTAGAATCCGCTTTTATGCTAACCAGTATTTCGCGCCGAGGTAGGTGGTAGCTATGCACTATAACATAATCACCGAGTACCTTAGACGGTTAAGTTTCACAGATTTATGAACCCATTAACTTAAGCAGGACCTAAAAACTAGCTTGACTATATGTGAACAATGCTTCTATGACATCTCAGACTTAAGTAATGAAAAAACTATGACATGTGAGCATCGGTTCAGCTAGTCACATTTTATCAGGGTAGGAAGACGAAACTATCAAGACAAATGTCACACATGTCGAAGTAGTAATGATATAAGTAGTAGTAAGTACATCAAGAAAAAAAGTATAAGATTTCGAGACTGAAGACCTAAGGGAAGGTAGAAAATGAATATACATCTGTATCATTTCAGTCGACGTTCCACCAATTCGTGACAATTGTGCATACCTCAACCAGAAAGCCGGTTCAGTTCAACGCCCCCAAACGCCCTAGTACGGACGAGAGTGGGAAGAGTCCGCTCACCCTCTCGAAATGCTCTCACATGGCCATGCGTATACAGCCTCTGACAGGGAAGTCCTACTCACTGCCTTCACGTGGCGGGGGTGTTGTTTACAAAAATGAGAGGACGAAATGCGAATGTCTGGATCCAAAACCAATGGTGCACATGGGCTACAGTATCCTGAGGGGACGAATGGCGTATGAACCAATCGTTAGTCACCGGCTACCATGGGTCTGCATCTCCTTACGATGCTCCACTGACTTGTGGATCAGATCTTCAGGTCGAAGGCTAGGGGTGTGGCCCCATAAAACAACCACCTGCTTTGGTTTGAGCACCCGTGCAGGGTCACAGTCCTCAAACAAATCAAATGAGATTTGTGAGGCGCATATGTATTTGGTGCCTCATTGTACTAATATCTATGTGTTAGAATAAATAAATAAATAAATAAATCAGTTCAACAGTGAATGACTTCATGGACCGATATCGCATCCCGACCGTTGCTGCTACTTTGATATAGTAAACAGGCTGACTTACCTATCATGATGAACCAATCGAGCTATAGTGGCTGGAACAATCGTTCCTCAAGGTCCTATCTAACCACGCAGGTCAGTCAAAGAATAATAAGACTGAAAGCAGCAAACTCAAGGTCCGAGGGCGAAATCGTATTGCTGACTGTACAGAGGTGTGACAGTAGTAAGGTATTTCCTTTAGACAGAAGGCATGACAGCGTTGCTATCTTCCCATAAAGAAAGCAAGGGTTTAGAAAAGGTCGACCCTAAAATTGCACACCTTGCCTTATCCCACGGATTTCCGTCTCCGGTGGTAAGGTCCCAACAATTGAAGAGCTAGCACAAAAACTCACAAAAAGGTCGTGTGTGACCAGCCTCAAGCAGTTGTCCCTTTGGCACTACGGTCACGCTTTCAGGTCACTAAGACCAACTATAACCCGATTTTGTTTTCCGGTACATCTAGAAGAACCATTCCATGGTGTGGGCGACTGGGAAGCGATGACCGCCTTCATACTTCTAACAGCAGTCAGGACTACAGTATTCATAATTTCCCTCTCTATATCACATCTTTGTTCGCCAGCCAATACCTTTCTTGCAACCTATTCGCATTTCGACAAATACTGTGCACCGAGGTATACCATGGTTATTCATATGTAGTACGTGTCTTAACTACTTCACTAAAACGAAATTCACTAACTCATCAACCAAGTGACTATCTTTTTACCCAGCGCTGCACGTCAACTCCAGAACTGCTCATTCGGTGGCTCCAACATGCACGATTTATTTATTTATTTGAACACATAAATATTGGTACGGGAGGGCACCAAATATATATGCGCCACATAACATGCACGAGCAATGCCTTGAAGCAACTTATAATAAAATACTAGTAACCTAAAAACATCCTTTGTCTTTGAAAACCATGTTTTATAACCACTAAATATCTATGGTCAAACAAGAACCTACATATATTATATGACATAGAAAATAAAAAGCAAACTTCCACAAAGTATACGCGGCTGAATGGCAGAAGTATACATAATGAGTTGGCAAGTGCAAAGGAATGATCAAAGACAAGTGAAATAACTGTAACCATAATTAGGTTTTGTCGACTACTAGCATATCATGATTGATGACAGTCCTAAATGAGGTGGAAAACTCACTCAAGGGCCTTATTTCTCAAAATTAAACAGGGCCCATATTTTTATAATACACTTAGTTAAAATAGCTGCACTAACATATTGAAATGAAAGTTGTTTATAAGTCCTACACTATATCTTATAAATGGTCAACAACATATTAATAATTGTTTACTGACTTTATATTTACTGTCGTGGAGTTTTACAGTTTCCGAAAATAGAGACCTGACTGTGCATCGTCAATACAGTTATCCATAGAACCCTACTCATTAGCATTTACGACACTACAATTGACACTCTTCGAAACGCCGTAAGTTTTAAAAATTTTGTTGTCACACAGTTTTCTTGGGTACTTCTTTCTACGCTGTTACTGACAATAAGTTCTTTTAGACTATATGGACTGAGAAATTTGAGAGAAGAACGGTACGTTAATATACACGTCTTCTCTGAATAAATGAATTAAGTATGTGAACACTCTAAACCTATCTAAAGTAGTTTTGTAATCATTATTTTAAAGTCCTTTACGCTGAACTCACAAAAAGAAAATACGTGACAGGCTTTAGGTTCTCTGGATATTCAGAAATACAATTGTTCATTACAAAAACGAAGAACACCAGGAATCATGTAAAAAAGAGACAGACTTACCTGACCTCTAAACGTTAAAGGAACAAACCCGCTAAAAATAGGAATATACGCAGAACACAGCAGAGCCTACAAAATATTAAAATTACAATTATGGTATTTTGAGACTTACTTGAATTACCTCATCCCTATTTTTATACTTTCGGACGATTATGTTCTTTCGCGTGGTGAAGCATGTTAACGATATCGAAAGACGATCAGAGCATAAAACATGAGCATCTGGTGGTAATAACTGAGACAAGCCATCTTTTAAATATTCGCTTATTTTATATCGTGGATCAAATGGACCAAGTGTAAACCGTCTCGTATTTTCAATAAGTTTACAAATATGCCGGACACATACATCTACCTAATTTAAATTTTATGTACCTGATAACTCACCCATATCCACATCACACACTAAACAAGCTGCAGCTAATGCACCAGCACTAGTTCCAGATACTGGTTTGTTTTTATATAGATGGGGTGCGAAACGTTTAATACAGCAACAAACACCTATATGATACAATCCGAGAAAGCCGCAGCCAGCAAAAGATAAATTGTGTTTAGAGCTTGGTAAATCTCTATAATAACGATCTTCAATTAAGTCAATGTCTGCGACTGAATACATTTCTTCTATGCTGATGCGACTCAGAAACTTCCATAAACTTTAAATCCCGCCTGAAATTGTGTAGCGATGGGGATTTAGCGAATGTAGAATGAGAGTAATACACACACTAAAGAATTACTAGTCGTCTGTAAAGCTCGAGGTTAATGACCAGGTGAATTCCAACACTGAAAAAATCAGTTGAGAAAACCACATAGTTTCAATATTGTTTATGTGCACTCCGGTTGTTGAGTACACAAAATGCTACTTGTGGACAACGACACGATGCACGTAATCAAGCATATGTGGCAGTCTGTACGCTCTACAAACATCCGTATATGTTGTAGTACCTGGCTGCAGCCAGTGTTACTGGTGCTTTTATTATCCAGTTTTCAATATTTGTCATAATTTGCCTTAGGAATTATATATGGAGTTTTCATCACGAACTGACACCAGCTGTGATGCCTTAAATTTATTTAGCCAAATGGGCGAAAAGCTTTTACGTTAAAATCCGAGATCTGTTATCTTATACTTGACTGATTTGTCCACAAATTATATTCTCACCGTTTTATTTGTTATAGCCGCTCAATTATCACAAAATTTCTTGTGAATCGATCGTACGTTAGCATTAAGTACTGAAAATGGCGCCGTAACCTTAAAGTCTCTAAAACGCTTCTGAATGGCTCGTCCATGAATTAGTCTCGACTAAGTGTTTTGTAGATCTGTCAATAGATTCATATGTAAATGTATTGATCTTCATGCACATGTGCGCTAGTGTAAATTTACAACACAAAAGCGTATTCAAGGAGCATCTTGTCTGGCTAGAGATCGGTTGTCTAAATTATAAAGCGGTCTGTGATTAGAAAACGACATTGGAGACTTACAAGATGAAATAGTCGTCTACTTTACTGTAGGACATATTCGTGAAAAGGTTTCCAGGTGCAACACTTGTCACAAGAATCTGGGGATATACCCATAGCGAAAAAAGATGCAGTTGCCAGGGTGAGAAAAAACCATGAAATACAACGCTTAAGTATCTGGAACACGTTTTTTCAATAACCTATGGATTAAGCACTGACGAATCTGGCGACAATAAACCTCGTATTTCAAGATACAGGTTGTGTCATTAGCTTGAAACCTAACACATCAATGACCGGCGTAACAAGACACATTTTAATACCCATGGCAGCCTAAAACTATAGTAATGATTACAAAAAATTTTAAACCGAAGTCAAACGTTTGAATTCGGTTTAAAATGTCTTAAAATATCACATTAATGTGATACTTTAAGGCAAAAATCTAAATCAACTGCTACAATAAGCTTATGTGATTAACTTGAATTAGGACCGATTTAGTGTGTGGATCACACCGCATAACTAATTAATACATGTGTGAGTTATTTCACACATAACGTAGGTGCACTAATTAGTGCACCTACGTTGACTACCTAGTCGACAGAAATAAAAAGCACGACAAAGTACTTTAATTTCGAATTTTAAATTCCGTAGCCAAAAATTACCGCGCAATAAAACCAGTTTAAAAAATCTATATCCATAAAAAAACTGCACGAATATCCTTGTTACAAAATGTAACGTAGGATTTAAATCTGTCACTTAACAGTACAGTAATCACATCATTTTCAATTTTCAACATACTGAAAGGATACATGAAGTTCTCCAGATACAAATTAAGGACTAATCCAAAACTTCGAAATGTATAAAAATGTACGTTTTATATGATTTCTGAGCAGAAGAATAGTTATCATGAATTTGTATATTCTTTTTGATTACTGAGTTCGTGATTTTCCTTCTGTAGATTATTTATGCGGAATAGCCGCATATAAATTTTATAGCGATTGTTATCATTTCGTTATTTAATATGCAATTTGATTGTAAGTCATATTTGTTACATTTCGTTTTATTCGTTTGCTGATTTATTAGTTTTCGGTATAGTATTATAGGCTGCATGCATTATTTCATCACGAATTTAATTACTGGGATCCACTACAAGTGATTCACTAGAAAAACAAGGTAAATTATTGTGATTGGTAGAAATAGCAAGTGTGAGGGTAGACATAGGCACAGAGATATGAGACATGAAACGACTGAAATACCAATATTCTGTTTGAACGCAGAACAAACGCATAAACATTTGTTCGATATGGTCAAACTGTGTCCTTCTATGTAACTTACGAAACGTGTTTGAGTGACTTGTATATCAATGAAGTATATCAATCACTAAACTCTGTATTTAATTTCGACAGCTCTAATTTAATGAAGAAAATGAATTTTATCGAAAGTACAAATTACATCAAACGGTACGGCCTGTGCTATGCAGTCAAATGTGTCTCTAACACAAAGTAACGTACTAAGCAGCAAAAAGGCATAGTTAACGAACAAGAGTTTGAGACCTAATAATTAGTAAAAACATGCCCAGCATTATGGGATCAGATACCTATCTGATTGAGATTGAATTAAGGATGTGCGTCCTCTGTCACCTGAGAAAGTTGGAGATGACAATGCTACAGATAGACAGTAAAGTGGAAGTGCTGTTAGCGAACGGAGTGAACAGCAAAACTAAAAATTAAAGTAAACGTTCAGCAAGGAAATGGATCTCACAACGAATTGCTGATAATGCTTATCCCAATATCGATATAAATTCAATTTAATCACAATAAGATCTAAGCCTGTTGTTTATCCAATACAACTGTTATTGCAGTGGAATTGAGTTCATTAGATCTAATTATACGTTTGTTGAAATGTTCTTTCTAGGATGCTAGAACAGCATATTGTTAACTATGAGGCAGTGCTTGAAACTGACTTCCAGGAAATACAGAATTCTCCTACATTATTTAGTTTTCTTAATCTGATTCGTATTCGACGCCATACAGGTAGGCGTTCAATTAACAATAATTTTCGTTCTCATGAAAACGTGGATAGCAATACAGTGATGAGTTGCAAGCAGGTTACAGAGATGAGCACAAGTTTGATAAATTTTCATCCCATGGAAAATTTTACTCATGTATCTCATGTCTTCCGTCATTTTAGATGACATACGTAATTACGCCTGTTACACCTAGTAGAGGAGCATAGACCACCCACCAGCACTCTCTAACCAACCCTGTCCCGGGCAATCCTTTCCAGTTGTTATTTACCCTTTTCATGTCTGCTTCCATTTTCCGACGTAATGTGTTATTTGACCTTCTTTTTCACCTTCCCCCAGGATTCCATGTTAGGGCTTGCCTCGTGATGCAGTTTGGTGATTTCCGTAGTGCATGTCCTATCCACTTTCATCGTCGTTCCCTGGTTTCCACTTCAGTTAAAAGCTGGTTTTTCCTCTCCTACAGAAGGCTATTGCTAATGGTATCCGACCAACAAATCTGGAGTATCATGCGTAGACAGCTTCTCATAAATACTTGCACCATTTTGACGATGAGTGTGGAGGTTCTCCACGTTTCTGTCAGTACAGTAGGAATATCCTGACGTTTGTATTAAAGATTCTCACTTTAATATTGGTTGACAGTTGTTTAGAGTTCCATCTTAAGTTCCACCATCAATTAATGAATAATTCAATCAACTACTGCCATATGGTCAATCTAACAAGTAAAGTTGTCAAATTAAAATGATGTGTTGATGGAAGTATCATATGACTTCACCCTCTATCGTTGAATTTTACTCCGGACTCACTGAGTGTAGCTGCCTTTAATTATATTGAGAAGAGTATTATCTAGTGTTAACCTGGCTCTCTATTTTTGGGCTGTGAATCTTGATTCTGATATAACGTGATTAGTCCTATTGTCGTATTAACGTGTTACTTTATAATCTGAGATAAAATATTTTTAAAACATCCATCATACCAGGAAGATTACATGAGCTCATATCACAAGCCATGTTGAAGTGACCAAACTTTTCTCGGGGAAAAAACTTGGTTCTTGGGAAAAGTTCTTCACATTTAATAAATAAGCAAGAAAACTTCGGCGAAAGACAACCATATCTCAGCAGGTGTAGGCCTTATAGATATAAGCAATGCCTTTGGTGCAGTCCCTTATCTTGGGCTCAAACAAAAAACCAGGAAATCCTGGAACTAGTTACAAGGTAAAGAATTAAACAACTGACGTTCTCAATTCCAAGAAACAGTATGAGTAAATGGTGCCCTGTCGTCATGGGTAACTATGGAGAGTGAGGTCCAACAAAGGTCACCAAAGGCTTTATTGTTTTTATCTTATATAAGTAATCCACAAGATGTTCCAAACCTGTCCTAGTTTTTACTGATGAAATTCAGATATGGAGGACCACGCAGAGTGTGGTTGATATGGTTTGTAAGAAGACTTAAATACACCTGTCAAGCGGATAGGTCTGTGGTGTGTAGTAATGCAATTTGTCTTTGAGACAACTATACCGTGGGTAAAATAGAAGTACTTGATCATGAGATTTCAGTAGTCGTAAATAGTAATGACCTAAGGATTACAATGTAGCGATAAATAAATCCTCAAAATAAATAGTTCTGTCAGTTCTCAACATTGGATGCTGATCACATTAGTTTTAATGGATTCACCTAGCTGAAACGCTCGGTCATGCATCCGCACCAGATCACGAGTGGGGACGCCATGCTCAACAACCCTTGTAATCATTAGCCAGATTAGATCAGACGATCCTCGATATGTTGATAGCCGATCGAATATATCTTCGAATCTCCTCACTCCTGTCTTTTGATTTCACTTGGTGGGTACGACACATATTAGGTGTTACTGGTTAAAGCGTTGTCAAACTCCGAATGCATGTGGCATCTTCAACAAGTAACTGTAATCCGACGGCTGTCAAATGCTTCTTAGTGTTATAGACTATTCTTAAGTCATCTATTCATTAAAACAAATAAATGTTTAAGATATCATAACTGATGCTTGTAAGATCACATTTGAGATTCAGGCAGATGATCATTGTTTTAGACACGAAATAGAGCTGTTTGGAAGGGCTCAACAGCAAGGGAGTCTTGACAGGTCTTTCTAGCGTCAACTCAACTTGTTCCCGCTATCTTACCGCAAGTTACTAGCCGACCTGATACTGGCTTATTCTATACTAAACAATGATCTTGGCATTGATTTGTCCTATTATTTGCTTTCATCTGGAACTGGCCATCAGAAAGCTCAAAAACCGAGACTAAATTGCCAATATCTAGAGTTTCTCTTATTAAACCTAGTCGTGAATTACTGGAATTCTCCAGCACAACACGTAGTATCAACATCTTCAGCTGGTACATGTGAAACGAGACCGGGTTTTCACAGTATGACAAGTTGTGAAGACTAACACCAGTCACATGACCTCAATACTTACCTCCAAAACTGATCTTGAACGTACAGAAATTGGAATCCGTAGATCGATCCCATAATGTAAACAGGAAAGCTCGCCGTAATTTTATCAAACATTTGCTGGAGAGAAGTCTAACATTTGACTAAGATATTTGGCAACAACAGCTAATGTAAAATATACATACCGTGGGTAAATATACCAATAATACCATCGTAGTTATGTCTTAAACATCTCAATAGAAACTCTGGAAATACTAATCTTATCAATTATCCTAAAAATATTATTCTCTCATATGTCACTGATTTAAAATATTCGTAACTTTTTTCATTTTGAACACAAAGATCAAAAGCAGAAATACAAGTATTTCACAAATCACTCGGTCAAAACAGACAACATAATCAAAAGACTAAGTCGAAAGGAGATCAATATTTAAATAAATATTAAGTCATTGTGCGACGTATCAGGCGAAAAAGACAACATAATTTTTCCGACTCAAAAAAAAGATATCTGACAAGTGATTGAATTAAAGAGAGAAAAAAATAATCATGATAAATATCATTGCACATGTATATATATATATATATAAACACAAGACAACACGAAAAAATCTCAAAGACTCATTCCAGTCTGTGCTCATAATTTTGAAGTGTATTTGCATTTTCATACGGTTCAAAACCTGATCCTGTGATATCTTCGTCAAAACTACCCATCTTCGGTACTGTGATTAATTTTCCTGACTCTCCAGGATTACTTGCATGAATGCTGTGCCTCCATCCATATCCAAAATAAATAATCAAACCTATGAACAATATTTTACAATATAATAAGTCAATGAACTGAATATTTTTCATAACATAATAATGCTTGCTAAGGAGATTGACTTATATACAAGTTTTGAGCCATCACGCTGTGGTTCAGTGTTTACTAAATTAATAAAATGCTTATCAGTACACAGTTCAATAACAAGAAAATAAACATGGATCATATATCAATTTGAGTAACTGTGACTCAATAGCTTAGGTACTTAATTTTAACAATCCAATAGCTACTTAGAATCCTAGTCTGTTGATATTACTCTCAGCAATAGGAAATTTTAAGTCTGTTTTGCGAAAAAGTTTTTCATAACAGTTTTGTCCGGTTAGTTTGCTTATTTCCATTCAGATACACATTGAATATTGTTCGTTTTATTAGAAGTGCTCCGCAGACTTGTTGTTCCGTTATGAAGATCATACGTCTGAACTGGTTTTATGGTGAATATCTGGAATTTAAATAAAGATTATTGTTCAAATAGTCTGACCAAACAGCATCGAAATTTAGGGCTTATTTTAATATTTTTAATAATCTTAAGCATTCACAGCTTAAAAGAACAAAAATCCATGATTGTGTTCAAATGCTCGTGAATATACTTTGAATCATATATATGATCAAATATATTAATTAACAGTGAGTCCTTCAGTAGTTCAGTGTATTGAGTCCTTATTTAAGACAATAAAGTCCTGTGTATTGCAATTTAATGAAAAGTGAATCTTTTTACTAGATGCATTACTTAATAACCATCAGTGATGATTTTTTGTTTGAATTTTGTGTCTGTTTGATTGAAACAGAATAAGTTTTGCGATTGGGCAAAAAGGTTAAAAAATAACCTAAGTATTTCGTCTTCAAAAAGTCCTGAAACTTTCTGACAAGTGACTGACCATTGTCCAAGGTATTTAGCTGAATGTCAAGCAGAAATTTTCAAGGATCTCCTTGCCCTTCTACCAAATTTAGTTATGAGTTTAAGTAAACATGTCATTATTTTAGATAGGGTACGTATATAAATATCTTCAGTAATTTTGCTTATTTCTCTGAAGAATTTTGGAGCAGAATAACAAGTTTAGAGTTTAAAATATCTCTACTGCATTATCATATTTTATGTTCTATATAAACTATATTTAACATATAAATAAATTAAAAGAGAAATAGAAGTAAATACTCATCTTTGAATATCTTACCGATAACTAACCAAATAATGAATCGAACCCATGTCATAGGTGATAATTTTACCATAAGACAAAAATTCAGGAAAACACATAAACATGGAATCAGAGGAACAAATGGAACCTGAACTCGAAAGAAACAAGATAAACAAATTACTGAGGACTCATAAACTATGCTAATAATGATCTTTTTCAAAATGAAATGTTTATTCTATACTGACTGGTGCTTGAAAGTGTAAGAGGCTATAACCAGGCCTAGTAAGTTAATAATTTCATAAGATGATGCTTGTTTTATTGACTTGAAGTTCAGTCGCTTATGTATTAATCGGTAATAAATTCCGAGATGTTTTCAATATCGGTGTGCTAGTTATTATAATAGGAAATAATAAAAATCTGATAACTGTAGTTAATCGATATCAATTTTCTGGAAAAACACTAAAACATTGTACCTTGAAATAAATACTACTGTAATAGTATTGCACTTAGATTCTGTTGTGATGAATCATATGAACTGAGATTCTGACAAATCAGTTTTTTCTTACTGAATGAAATTTTATATTCATAGTAGGAATTCGACATAATGGACACACCGGTCTTTATTTTTTTTGCACTGATTTAAAATGTAGCAGTAATTAAACAAATGGTACTTTTGAAATCATTAAATGCCTTAGAAGATTACTGAAGTGAATAGTAGTGTGTACTGAAGCATTATTGTTTACCCGTTGGAAAATTTCCAAATATACATTAAAGAGATTAAGACTAGGGTGTCAACTATTTAAAATTCCTGAATAAAACACAAAATTTATATGAAGTAAAAATTAAATTTCTATGAAGAATCTTGAATGGTATAATGTAATACTATGAAATATCAATAAGTTAATATTATAAACAAATAAACAAAGAGAGATAGAATGAAAATATAAGTGGAACAATTGAATTAATTTAAAGCACTTCTTTAAAATTACAAACATATTTGATACTTTTTTGTTTATTTGAAGTAAAAATTAAGATGTTTTACAGTAAATTCCTATCAATAAGACCGGGTATGCTCATACTGAATGATTTTCTTGGCTTTCGTTTGATTAACTTACACTTTGTAATATCAAGATACACATCAACATCAACTCATCGAATGAATGGAAACATTTTACAAGCATAAAGTATTTCAAACTTTCTAATTAAAATAAATATTTTATTACTATCGATGTGATTGAACAAGCTTTATATCATTTTACCTATTCATGTATCTGTCAGAACAATATGATATATTTTGTTGCTTAGAAAAAATAAAACAACCTTCACTGAATAGATTTTCATAAAAACTTGCTTATCACTCAATCTAAATTAAGAACGTCATATTCGATATAAATTCCCATTTCTTGACGGAATATACTGAAAATGACTACAGAATAATTCGACTAGACAATAAATGAACTGAAAAATTGTCTGTTTGGATTGAACAAAATTTTCCTGAATTTAGAAAGTTTTGGTATGTAATATATTAAATAATCAAATACTTACAATAAGTTTTATGTTATTGTAGCTTTCAGGGGTTTATTTCAAGCTAACGAGAATCAGGTTTATTGTAGTATGATTTCAACTTATGGATAGACTTATCAGAAAATGTAATATCTGTCACTATCCCCTTCACAGATTGGTATATTTACACAAATTCCATAGTTTATTTTGGGTCGAACATTAAACTTATTATCTGAATTTACTCATCATTTACAAATTCCACAAAAGCTTCAGTTTTATAAATTGCGATTTCCTAGTAAGATAAGGCTACAGCAGATGGATGATTCGCATACTTCCAAGGAAATAGGGATGAGTTGAACAAACTGTACATTTGTTTATACTTGGTAAGATAAGAATTTCCTTTACACTTGAGTAATGTAAGAATCGAACATAGAGATATGACAGGGCTAGTATAGATAAGCCACAGTAAGTCTCAGTTAGACAGTTAATTATCATTGGATATGTTTGGTTTCATCTAACGCTCCGAAAGTTTTATTCTATATGTAATCACACTTCTATGAGTGTATTTCATCTCATGAAAGTATATAGCCAACGGATTGCTGATTTACCATTTAATAATTCATAGGTTTTATGGACAAATATGAGTTATGGATATTGGTGTCGTAACATTGAAGTATACTAATTTAAATATCATGTCAATATATTCATAAGTTCAACAGATTCATATATTTTAAGTATTGCAAATGTAAGTGAATACCTTGAAGCTATCAAATGATTTGTTCTGTTCGTGTAGGAACATAATAACCACGAAGAAAATTGCTCCTATTAAGAATAAAATAAATATCACCACTGCCCACCAACGTGCTTCTTGAATGTACTGAGCTCCTGGTAAAAGAAGACTAGCTAAACCAAAAGCGCAGATAGTATAAATTAACAGTGAAATAATAGGTGCATGTCCGGGTGTTGAATCACGAAGAATCGGTAAGTGACGAAAGGCAGATTTCAAACGTCCAATGGAGTGTGGCCATTCATTCAACTCAGCTTCATTAGTTTCACGTACAACCTTTTCGTTATTTAAACGTTCATCAGTTGGAAAACTAGGATTCTTTAAACAAAAATGGAATTATTATTATTATTATTATTATTATTATTATTATAATTATTATTATTATACTAACAAACATATATTGCCAGTTGGACAAGTTAGGCTATCTCCAAGAGTCTAAGTAAATAAAGACGTGAGGTTTATATAATGTTATGAGAAGATTGAAATAATAATGATCACCAAATAAAATGTAAGCTGGAAGCTTAAACCTAAATCTGATCAGCACAAAGTCTGATAGTTGTATTTTTCATAGTGAGAGTCTAGACAAATTCACATTGTTTAGCTTCATAACAGGAAAAAAAGGATGAAAGTAAGTATCATATAATTCTGTAGAATTTATTCAATTCGGACTTACTATAATAAAAGTTGATGAAAAGTACCATACCACTCAGTGAATATTTTGATGAATAGAATGGACAAATGAGATAATAGGGATTAATTGATTACTAAAGAGAATTTTATGACTGTATCCGAAATAACTTTATTTTTACTGTATCAACTTTTAAAAAAGTATGAAAGAAATATTGAATCACTCATGTCAACTACTTCTATAGGTTTATAAAATAATATTAATCAGGTTAACAATTTAAACAAGAGATAAAAATAAATAGTGATAAATTAGTGTATTATCGAATAGCGAGTATTTACTTAAAACAACTGTCAGCCAACATCAAAGTCAGAGTCTTCAATACGAACGTCAAGACAGTTCTATCTTACGGAACTGAAACTTGGAGAGCTATTACGACCACCATAAAAAAGTACAGGTATTTATAAACAGTCGTCTACGGAAGATCACGAGACAAGCACCAAATTGGAATCCCGGAGTGAAAAGAAAAAGAGGAAGACAAAGGAACATATTGCACTGGGGAACGGAGGCGACATTAAAAGAATGGACAGCACTAGGAATGATTTCCCAGGACAGATTTGGATGGCGAATCCTGGTCGGTGGCCTACGCTCCACGAGGTGTAGCAGACATAAGCAAGGTGATTTCTCAGAAAGTATCATAAACAATTTGTTAAAATATTTAAATAGATAAATTTCACGAAGAAATTCGCGAAAATACTAGAATTTCTAGCAACACACTGTATTCATTATAACTAAGTTTGTCATGGCCTGTGAAGAATTAAACCTTTTACATGGTGGTCTAGCTTAAGTCGACCCATGAATTCAACTATTAAATTACAGTTCACTGAATAAAGAATTTAGTCCTATATTTATAAACAATTCACACTACTCATTAGTAGTCAAAAGTAAACTATGGAAATATCTGTGATTTCGATTGAAAGCGATAAACCAAGGCATAAATCAAAAGCGTGAACAAGAGCAAAGTACAGAATATTACAGGTATAATATGATTTGACGGTGTTAGTAGAATAATGTAATTGAATCTGTATGACGAAGGAATGAGTCAAAGTTGAAGATTGTGGTAATTTATTATTTGAAAGAGATGTTCTTAGTGGCAGGCACTTCAATTACTATTTAGTTTTAAGGATATACCTAAATAACATCACAACTCCCAAACTTAGTTTGAATATCTCCGTTTTCTATCACTCGCTTATCAGAATCTCTGAAACATTTGGGACAAGTAGTGAACTATCAATATTCCATAGGTTGATCTCAACACTAAAAAGCAGGCATTAATCAAGTGTTCAACTCCTATTTTGCAAGGGATTTTCGGCTCAAATGATTGGAAATGTCGTCGAGTCGTTTTGGATAGTTGGTTTACCAAAACTCACTTATTTTCAAGTTATCAAAGTTCTTAACACTCACTTTGAAATGAACCAAATCTCAAGAAATATTTTTCTGTGCATAGAAATCTAGTTTGTTTCGATGACGTAGAAAGCCAATAACAGTTCTTTGGAGCTATTCTCAATGGTTTATTAGGAATAAGAGCTTTTGATCGGTGTACATGACCTTCAATGACTCAAATTGGTAGTTATCATCTGTTACGAACTGAAGAAAACAACAATTTCTTCAATTCGAATAATTTATGTAAATATAATGTATTTGAAGAAAAAAACATCAAAATGAGACTTACCTCTTCATGTGATTCTAATTCACTCCATTGACCAGAATATAGTTGCGGCTGACAATAACGCAGAATACATACATTCATTGAGACAATTGTATAAGCGATTAATGTTCCAATGCTTAAAAAGTCAGCTAATAAATGAATATCACATAAAAGAGTCAGAATTGCAGAGAATATTCCAAATAAACTTAATGCAACGACTGGTACCTGCAGGCAAAATAAAGAAAAACAATTCGATAAGCCTTAAATTTCCTCATATGAAAAATAATCAACGAAAATGGTCAGTGCATTGAGTCCATATTAACTGATACTACTTAGTAGAAACCTGTCTTACTTTTAATTTAACGGTTAGAACTTTAACTGAAATTTCAAATTTCAAATACTATTAAATTAAGTTACAGCTTCTTGTACCACACACATTATATTTTGGAGTATTTGAAGATAAATTCATAGATCGGCACTCGCAAAGCTCGACTACATTAGTCAATAATTCATTGACAATAGTACTGATCAATGATCTTGTGAAAAAAGCTATTCAAAACTTCAAGAAAGTGGAAATAACCTATAAAATATATGGCCACCTTAATTATAGTCAAAATTATATCTTGACTGGCTCTTATACATACAACAAAAGATGAGGAAGATTATCCTTCGGTATTAATCGATTTGGAAAACACACCATTGTTAGTGTTACTTACTATCGACGGCGTAAAACTAATAAACCCGATATAAATTGTATGATTTAAAAGTGTTACTGAAAACAAGCAATAATTAAATAACTTGTTTCATTCAATGAACTCATTTGATCTGAAAAACTTTTTACCCCACAAAATGATTAATTTTACTTTTAAAGAAAGATGTAAAAATATTTTGATAAATTCTTAATCACGGGCAAATCAATTTTCAATTTTTAACTGTTTAAAACAAATGAGAAGTTATTTTTTTCTTTATATAATGTCGTAGCTATTAAAATGAAAACTACGATAATATACATTTTTAGCCAAAAGTACTCTCTACGCTATTCAGTTGTTAAATAAAAAATAAGAAAGTTCGGAAGATCCGTTACCTATGTATTTTAAAAATGTATCATCTACACATTTTATTACGTGAAGTCCATTTACTTTGTGAATTTAGCAACTATTAAAATGATATTTCAGACTTACTTGTGTAGATGGTAATAGGTAGCCTAGAAATTTAGGCAATAAACCATCACTTGCCATAGCATACACTACTCTTGGCATTGCATACATACTTGTAAATAAACTGGCACTTAATCCCAGCAATGAGCCAATTCCTGTTATATATGTAGCCCATTCATAATTGCGAACATGAAAAGCAGCTGTAAAAGCAGCCTGTCGGTCAACTGTCCACCATGGTACAAAAAGTGTCAAAGCTAAGCTAGCCAATAAGAATAAAAGTGTAACTACACCGACTGATACACCAGTAGCAATTGGCATTGATCTTTTAGGATTTAATGCTTCTTCACTGCTAACTGTTATAGCATCAAAGCCAATAAATGCATAAAAACATGTTCCAGCTCCACCAATCATACCACCGAATCCATACGGAAATAAACCTCCATGACTAGCCGGTGCAAATTCTGAACTATGCTCATTCGGTCGTGCAAACATAATACAAGTGGCCAAAATAATTACCACTAAATTTAGCATTGTTATTATAGTATTTAATATTGCTGAAAGCTTTGGTCCCCGGAATAGTACTAAACCAAGTATAATTATTAAAAGAGCTCCAATAAAATCTGGGTAGTCGCCTAGAAATTCCACATTCGATGGAAAACTGAAATATATCGAAAGTAAAAAGAAGGAAGATATACTAGTACATCTGGATAAGGTTATATCAAATGAGCATAAACGTTTATCAATGAGACCGATATTCCACAGACTACAGACCAAATCAAAAACTATACACAGTTATAAGCGATTTATTTACCTGGTCGATAGTCAGATTTGAATACATTGAACTAGACAGTAAGTACTTGACATCAGTTAACAAATGACATACTAGATTTATACAGTTTGCAACACCACTGGATTAAATTGATTAAATCAACGGACATACCTAAATCACTAAGCTATACATTTGTTTTTTCCTAATAGTACGACATCAAGACCTAAAGAACTCATACATTTTAGTTTATTCATTTTAAAGAGAAATGAGAATGAAAACAAATGATAATATGTTTCCCATCCAATATTGTCGTGTTACTTTAATATAATGGTTAAAAAGGTTAATGGTGTGAAACAACCACGAAGAAATTGGTTTTGGTGTGATCCTTCCTTAACAAAATTCCGGTCTTTTCCTTTTTCAAATAATAACGAATAACACGCTTCATTACTGATATATATATATATATATATATATATATATATATATCGATGAAGGAGTGATAAGCTTGCTAAAAAAGATGACTCAATAACACTCTAAACAATATAAGTGGATAACGCGATGGCGTTTGAAGCGAATGGTTCTGGGTTAGAGTCCCTGAGTAAATATCAACTCTGGGATGCAGGTACATCCTGCTGACGAGTCTCAAATAGGACGAGATGCGCGTCGTGGATTCCACTGCTAACCACCAACCATCTTTGCTTATAATATACTGAACAGTTTTAGCAGATAACGCAGTAGATAACCCCAAAAATAGATAAATTCAAACAACAATGAGTTACATTATTTTAAAAGTTAACGCTTAAAAATTAACAATTATTAGTACTGGGGAAAGGTTTATCAGCCGAATTTGAGAAAGTGGTAATATCGTTTTTTACTATGTTAATTGAAAATTCCTACCTACTATCAGTACACCTGTCTTCCTACTATCAACTTGTACTTTTATCTATTATGTGTGATGACTTATCCCATTTCATTATAATTACTGACCCAAAATTGCTTTGATTGGTTTAACATTTTCGTATAAAAATTCAATATGTTTGAAAAATAATGATGATTTGACTATATTCACGTAAATCTTATGAGAAATGAAAAATACTAGCAAACTTATGATTCGTCACATTATATATTGTTTAAAGATGTTAGTTAAGTGATTCAACGGATTGAAATTGAGATTAGAATACACTGCTCTTTTGTTTAGCTGTAAATAAGTATACAACAACAACAAGTGTATAACTTAATCTAAGTATAAGCTGAACTACAATTATTTATCATTAGATACACATAAATTTCTGTATCTCTATTATCATACTACATAATGCCAGAATCTTCAGAAAACTTCAAAGAATCTACCCTCAGAAACTTCATTAACTAGGCTGAAAGCTTAATCGATTAATGTGTTATATAGATGCTAATATCAGTCGACTATTCAAGTTCTGACGTTTACTCAGGACCTAACCACTGAAAAACCTCAAATTACTAAGACAAATTAAAGCACGCATTAGTGACAATTATAATTAATATTTAGTTTGCAGAAGGAACTTTTAAAAGCTGAAAATGAAAATATTTTAGGACTATTTTGTGTGAATTCAGGTAGACTGTAGCTTAACTTGATTCCTGTTCATAGGAATTAGGATTTTCTTTATGAGTATGAACAGGCAATTACTAATTTATGCCGCAATCGAAACATAAAACATCAAACGTCAGAAGTCCCTTTTGAGACACGTTCATTGTTTGGATCATATCTTTGTGATAAATTTACGATGTGACATTGCCAAAAAGAAAAGCTAGAGCTTATAAAGTGGCAACGAAACATGCTTTGAGATCATGGTTGTGGTACGGTTGCCTTAATAAATTTATTTATTTATTCAGATTTGAAAGAATTCTCAAACGGCTCGTCACTAACTGAACTTGATCACTCATTACTTGAAGATATACACTAGTATTACATATAATGTCTTTTAATTATTTACAAATCTAACTGTATTGTATTAATATTACTGGTTCTAAATAATAGAGAAAACACTATAGATTCATTAAAAAACTTCAAATGATTTACAAGATTTGATCGTTAAAATATATCGCTTATAATGCCAAACCAAAACAAGTAGGATATTTATTCCTTATTTTGATTATTCTAATCGCTTGTAAACACATTTTAAAACTACCAACTTTACTCAGTAATTTGTTTTCATTAACAAGTGGGTACTGACTTTCAATCTCACAGAAGTAATCCTGTTACACTTTAAGAGATAAAAGAAGAATCATGTCATCAGAAGGCTGTTCAACTAGTTACATTACCTTCTGGTAATTTCGATGGTGTAGGCTTACCTAGCAATTAATTAAACAACAAAAGATGAGAACAAGTCCGGATAGGTTCAAAGAGAAACGTTACCTCAAACAATAGTAAAAAATAGTACAATTGTGATTGGTTATCCAGTCATCAGATGTGTCAGGTTATCCTAGGTAATTGTGTGTCTATCTACTTTTACATTTATTGATTACCAAATACGATATCCTGAATCCTTATTAATCTACTGTAACCAGTTTATTGACTTGAAGAAAGAATTGAGTTATTCGGGGTAGAAGTTTAACAAGCAATTTGGAAATAGTTTGAAAACGTATGTAGAAAACCAAATAAGATGTTAATAATAATGATGAAGAAAGATCCAAGTAATTATCAGAAAAATCAATAGAAATAGATATTTTCCTAATGGATTAACATACGAGGGAAGACTGAGCATTAACTCATAGATAAATATAACAGGTAGGATTCTGTACTTATCAGTCACGTGCTGGCAGTTAATATCATGTTATTTAGTAGAATAGAGGTTAGGACTTATGTTATCTAGTGTCACAAGCAACAGAGTTACCAGTAAAGTATTTGATATATACTCAAGTGCTAATTACCTATTAAAACTTTTATTCCAATTTAAGATGTAAGTTACAAAAATATTATGGGATAAGTTTAGTTGTATCACGCATTTACCGACAACCATCTTCACCGATTGTAATCGGAGTGAAGCATCTTTTAACTTCACTCCATTCAAAAACCATAAGTCTTAGGAATTTAGTGGTCGAAAAGCATTAAGTGTTCGCATCATTTTTAGTAACTAACTAATTTATAACTCAACAGACGCGTCTTCTAACTAAGAGATGATCCATGCAGTTAAATTTATGATTGGTTTGTACATTGGTTTTCCTATAAAATATTTAAACTAAAAATAATTCAGCATGAATTTCATGCTACATATTCAATTTTTCAGTTTCTCGAAAAAAACGGTCAATAAAATTTTTTTTGGCAATTACAACCTTTTTTCATATTTTATTTGCTGTCCTTTTATTATTGAAATCCCAGTATCCATTTTTTTCTTATTCTCCTATAATTTACCTAGTTTCTTCTAAGTTGTCACAATGAAAAGACAATTTCAAATTAATAAAACTTGTCAATATATGAAGTCTGATGAAATTTGATTAACGCTAGTAATGGGATCAAAAACCTACAGTTTACCGAGTGTTTGACTAGCCATTTATTAATAGCAAGAGAATAGTCATCATTAATAGTAAGTTATGTTACTGATATGATGGGAGGAAAAATCAATATTCGATTGATTTACTTAATATGAGTTTTATTCATCGTTACATTCTTTTGATTCAATGTAATGATTACGCAATGTAATATTTCTTTTCTTTTCTCGTATGATATTTATTCTGTATAATATACAATATTCTTGTATTCCATTGACTATGAACTATACTCAGCATTTGTTATAACTGTGAGTATTTTTCATGTATGTGATTTTCTTCTAATTATTAATCAAAACGGGTGTACAATCAATATATAAACGAGTATATTTTCTACTAAAGAGACTTTGCTCTTTTCTCTGGTTGCTGCAGAATACACTTCTTATTTCAAGCTTGGACTTCTCCCTCTTGATAGCGGGGCTGGGGCGCAGCAATAGCTAGCTTACTGGTCATTGGTCATCGAATCTCGTTCTCGTACGCAGACTACGTGAACCCGTGATAGCTCTCTCTTTTTCAAACCCTAACAATTGGCGACGGGGTAAAAAGAAAAAAATGACTCTCCCTTCCGATCGATTACAGCTGCTATTCGAGCGACACTTGGCCTTATTAGTCAATTTACGCACGCAGCTACTGAATCACTCATGCTTTAGTGATGCGACAGAAGTGGATAAATTGATTTCTCAACTGCACACTGAACTGGATAATGATTGCAGCCTCGATGAATCCTCGATAACCCGTACTTCAAATGAAACAGCTGTCACTCAAGATCCGCCCGGTGATCCAGTGCTCCCCACTCCAGAAACATGCGCGGTAATGGATCCAAACTCCATTATCCCCGAAACAGCATGTAAAGACAGTGATGCATCCAGCTCACAAAAGGACGCCCTGCTAAATGTTCATGGAAGTGTTGCAGTAACCACCCATGAAACAGAAAATAAATCGAGCAGTACAATGAAGGCAGCTGCTCCAAATGGTTCTCATCATTATGTGACACAAGTTTCTGACGAATCTTATTATCGAAATTCTGTTTTACCAGAACATAGATCAGATGTTGATTATCTTAATGATTCATCATCTACAAATGAGGCTCCCAATAAAATTGATAACAAGATTTCAGGAGATTCAAACTCTGATGACCTCGAATTAAATGGCGTTTATCCTCACTACCCGGTCCATTTTACTGGATTCTCTGCTCAATATGTTTTAAATACAGTCAAGCTAATTGTAATTTGGGTATATGAGGACCCAACACTGTTTCGTGGGGGAGGACGAACTAGGAAAATTTAAATCCGGATATCAACTCCGGATCTTCAAAAAAAGGGAGGTGATATGATGGGAGGAAAAATCAATATTCGATTGATTTACTTAATATGAGTTTTATTCATCATTACATTCTTTTGATTCAATGTAATGATTACGCAATGTAATATTTCTTTTCTTTTCTCGTATGATATTTATTCTGTATAATATACAATATTCTTGTATTCCATTGACTATGAACTATACTCAGCATTTGTTATAACTGTGAGTATTTTTCATGTATGTGATTTTCTTCTAATTATTAATCAAAACGGGTGTACAATCAATATATAAACGAGTATATTTTCTACTAAAGAGACTTTGCTCTTTTCTCTGGTTGCTGCAGAATACACTTCTTATTTCAAGCTTGGACTTCTCCCTCTTGATAGCGGGGCTGGGGCGCAGCAATAGCTAGCTTACTGGTCATTGGTCATCGAATCTCGTTCTCGTTCGCAAACTAAGTGAACTCGTTAGCTTTCAAATCCTAACAGTTACCTAAAGGATGGTTATGATAATTCGGTAACACTGTGGATATTATCCCAGTAATCAGATAATAAATAAACATGATTATGGTGCAATTCACTATTTCGACGTCTGAATTATTATGTTATAGAATACACTTTAGATTTATTTTGTACGTCACAGTCTGTTAGTGGTGATGAGCTTGCTACGTTTTAATAGTAGAAGACATAAAAACCAGTTGATTTCAATAAAATGAGCTAATGGAATTTCCCGAGACCTTGTCTAAGTGTGTTTTGCACAGTACTGGAAATTGAAACGAAAGCTTCAGTTATAGGCTATAATGGAGCAAAATTAGCAATGGCTAGTAAATATTCACCAAAGTTGAATGCCGTTTTTATTGGAGGGCAAAACTGCTAAAGGATTTTGAAATTTATCCAATTTTAAAACTAGTAATGATGTGAAAACGTGCATGATACCAACTGTCTCCTTGACATTTTTTTGCATTTTCGATAATCGTTTCCTATCTTTTTGACCTTTCTTGGTTTGGATCCCAAGACAAGTCAGTATACAATAAGTCTGTATAAAATATATTGCACGACTGCATCATAATTCTAAGACAAGCTCTTTCTCCTCATTATACTATCAAGAATTAGAAAGCTACTTCATCCTTTAAGAAATTTAAGGATATTACGTAATGACTGCTTGGCGAAACAATTTATTAACAAGGAAAGATCTTCAGTAATATTACACTCATAATTAGTAATCAACCAATCAGTCATTAGATACTTTGAAACTAATCTGCAGCCATCGACTTTGAAACAACGTCACGTAATTCAGTGCTAACAGCTAGTGACTGACGAGTAGAATTTAATCGGTAACGTAAAGTAAGTAACATTAAATTGTTTATCATCCAATTCTATGGAGAACGAGTGGTGACTCAAAGAGCTTTATGGGAGCTTCTCAAGCTAATAAAGGCTAGTGAATATAAACATTTTTCCAACAATACGAATTTGTGAGTTATGTGGAGTTTTTCCTGTGTCTCCAAAACAGCCAAGAATTGCACAAATATCAAAATTTCTTGGTTTTTAATAGCTGTAATACTGATATTTACTTACAGTTGAAATCAAACTTAAATTAACATTATCTCAACCAATTAACCTAATCATTTGCAGCTGATGAGAAGTCTCAAAATATAATGAATGTTAGTACTTCTGCTTTGTTTAAAATAAAATGATCGAACTAATACCTAAAAAAGTAAGAGTATTTAGGTTATCAGAGTTGATGATTATTAACTTAAACGCAACAGAAAATGCAACATACATAAAAACATTTTACCTGCCAATAGTATTCTTTGTTCCATTACTAATAGCATGTTGTGACATTGCGTCTACTGTGCCACTCCAACCACGTGCAACACTTGATACAGACAAAACGTATTCTAATATCATTGACCATCCAACAATAAATGCTAAGAACTCTCCGCTTGCCACATATGTATAGGTGTATGCAGATCCTGACTATGAGAGAAAAAAAAGAAAATAACAAGTGATTTGTGAGTAACTCAAAATGAAATATGGAGAATCTTTGAAATACTAGTTATAAGAAAGTAATTCTATAATCAATTTTTTATGTTAAGAAATCGATTTACAACAACTTGGCAAATAATGAGCACGATAAACAAAAATGGCTACTGAAACTTAGTTAAACTTTTAGTCACAATTTGAGTTTACACAATCCATTAGTTTATTACTTCTTCAGTGTTTTACTTAATACATTATGAGGTGTGAAAAATGACATTTTCACTGGAAGTCATTTTTCATTATTTTTTAAGAATATCAGTTTGGTTTATTGTAAAATATTAATTTTTTTTAAAAAATGATGAAGAATACCTGAAGCTCAGAATGTGACTTTTCAAAAAAATTTTTGACTTGACACTGAAAACAATAACGAAAGTGTTATTCTTCAGTATATCACTAGTTCAATAAGTATTTCTAATTTAAAAACATAGTTCAGATCATATCACAGTTTAACTTCTTTCATTTATAACATTTTTCTCAATCATTTTATTAATCTTATGTAAGTTCAATTAAATGTATGCAGCATTTAGAAAATATGATTAATCAGTCACTAGAAATCTTTTATTGTTTTCTACGGTGAATGGTAATGTCATCTATCCGTAAAAAAGTATACAATCTACGCAGAGCTTATTATTATTTACATTGAATGTCCTAAATACTCAGACTAATCAACTTAATTCATAGAAATACAACAGTATATTTCAAAATAAAAAAAATTAGTGATTAGGAATTATAAAGCAAGTAGTCCCTTTGATAAATTTTGATAATGTAATAAGAAGATGAAGATTATCAGAGCTATGTGATATATAATAGCGCAATACATTTCGAACAATCTGATCAAACATTAAGAATTAGGCAGTTTTATTTGTCAATATACAATAAAATCAAATTTATTATTTTAGAGAAATATTTGAATTTTTTAAAACATACTAATAACCCATTAAAACCTTAAACTTTGAGACGATTAAAGCTTTGGTAAATTATCCACAAACTATTTTTATACAGAAAGTGAAATTATTATAGAAGACCAAATAAGTGGCTTAAATATTCTGATTACCTTGAAATTTGGTCTAGTTTTAATTTTATTCGCGTGTAATTTCGACTAGTAATACATTAAGCAAACTTATCTCGATGAACGAAAGGCAACCTACAATTTACAAAAATCATCTTACATATCAAAACAGTTCATATGATGTAGAGCTACTCAAACTAGTGGTCATATTTTAACTTGATCATCATAATCCAACGAGTACTAAAAAATAGACAAATATAGAATTAAATTATATTATATTTAAGTCATACTGTTAGAACTTAACCAAAATCATGGACGGATTTATGTCAGACTTGAGCACAACTACATGGTGGACCAATGGTCTAAAGTTTAGGCGTTCGTGCGCGAGACAAAAGGTTTTGGTTTCGTTTCTCGTTTGCGAGGGCGTGGATGCATAACTCTGAGTAGCCCCATACTAGAGCAAAATAACCGTCTAGCGTCTCCAATTTTCAATGGTGGTCTAACTTAGATAGTTTCATGATTTCAATGAAATTCAACAATTTCTACAGCCCCATACTGAGATGAAAAATATATATTGAATATTAAAAGCTAGTTCAATAATCATTTTACATGTTCTACGTTGCTTATGGCTGACTGACATGCATGTAGTATTCATTAATGGAAATAATAACAAATAAAAAACAAACAATATGGTTATTAGCTGTTACCAAATCACGTTTAGATTCAACGGTTTGAAAAACTTTGGGCATTAGGCAAATGTTACTCATTATAATTAGAAATGTGTATTTTACTATGCATGAAAAACAAAACAGAACTGTTTTTCCTGATGTTTCGCTAATATAATGCTAACAGTTTTATTAAATTGGTAGTAAACCAGAATTTACAATGTCTCGGCTTATATGATGATTATTTACTTCATACTGTGTGCAGTAGAATACAGAAATAAATATACACACGAATTGAATGGTTGTTTTAGTTACATATGCGAAGGGAATACTAAACTTATGGTCGTGATGTTTATGCGCATCAAATTCATTAGTTTATTTATAGTTCAAGGTCAAGTAAAAAAACAATTACCGGTCTGGATTTGTTGCAGCCACATTGGAGTTTTACGATAGTAAAAGCGAAGATAATAAATGAGCTAAGAATGTTTACTATCATTGTTGTTAAAATAAGACGCCATGATAATTATCTTTGTCCTAATTAAAGTAGAAGGATGTAATCAAACATGAAGTGAGGTAATTTTTTAAGAAACTGTTAGATATGCAGCATGAATCAGATATATTAAAGAACCAATCAAGGTCTCATTTAATAGCCTTTTACGTATCTAGTGTGTACAGTGATTCAGTAGACTAGTATCACAACGCTTGGGAAGGTGATTATATGGTTCGAATCATTTTATTAACGACAGTACATATAAGGGATAACGTATGTTTAACAACTTCAATACCTCCATTTGCGCACATAATCATCATGAAAACCTCAAGTATGTAACAATCAACAGCTTAAAACAATAAGTAATAAAAAGTGTGCGCTTTGTACAAAAGCAGGCTTCGTCTTACAATCGAACACTGTAATACCATTAAGGGTTGTTGAGTTAAATTTATGAAGTTTATCTGACTCTATGGAATGATTGCAAGCATAATCTGTTAGGAAGTTTACAATTAGATTGGTATATCGGTTGAGCCACAATTTAGGGAATTTAACGCTTACAACCCAATAACGATTGGAAATACTATCAAATTTTTCAGTAATGTCAAACCTATCTCAATATGTGTTTTGAATATGTAATTAAATTCATATATTGCTTATATGCAGGATGGAAAATGAATGTAAAAATGAATAGATTAGCATGCAAATTAGACAGTATTTTGATTTAGAAAAACAAAATAGCAGCCTGAAACACAAACAAAATTATTGTGAAAAAAGTCAGGCCATGTTCAGCAAGTATTTTCGAAAAAAAACATGAAAGAAATTATATTGAGAACTGATATTATTCAGACAAATTCTAAACTGTATAATGAATGAATCTGCTCCCTGGCCTCAGATTTGCAAGCCAACATGTAAATGAATTTATCGATTAAACTTCAATTACTTGAGGTTACGAATTATTGATTTGAGAATCGCTATTCGTGTTTGAATCTAGCGAAAACCTGAACTGACATTTAGTTTGATTGAAACTAATATAACTAAATAGTGAAATAATGTTGATTATTAGTTGCATACTTAATTGGATTTTATCCCATCTGTCATTAATATAATCTCATATTCAATTCCCCTACTATAATATGAATAAGACTAGGACTTATCTATTCATTTGTTCAAATGATCTAAATCGTCGTTAGGATGAAAAATATTTTCTTTCGTGACATCTTGAATAAACAGTATTAATAAAAACATTTGTTTCCAATACCTGAACAACAAACACAATTCTCAATTCAGATAAATAAAATTTCAGAATGACCCGAACCCAAGTTACCCTTATTCTTAAAGCTGGGTTTTAAAAGCAGAATTAATGAGATTGTGAAATGAGAGAATATATCCAGAACTACTAAACTGTACTTATTTAACAATAAGATCTATATAATTTTAAATATCCATAGAACTATTTGTCTAAAGTTGATTATAATTGGTGAACACTTTAGCCCATAGATTGTCATGTTCGAAATATCTATCATCTGTAAGGGCATAAAAATATGACATGTTGTTTTAATACTTGGATGCATGGTTAGTGGCAAATATCTAGTTTATATACCCACAATTGTCAGGCAATTTTACTACCATATGAGCAGTTATTTTTTTAAACACAGTAGATAATATCAAAACTTACAAGTGTAACTCAAACTCATGTGAATACAAAAGAATTCAGAGATCGATTCCGTTATCTTAATCATCACCCATGTGAAATTTTAGCCCCTAAATTTTACTCGTCAGCTAATAGCAAATTACGCATGACATCATAATAAATGTTCTTTTAATCACAGATAAAAGTATTGAAAACCAGAAAGTATTGAACTACCCTTTTACTCCACAATAGAACTGAGCAACAAAAACGTCATTGGTATTTCGAAAGTTCTAGACCAACAAATTCACATTTCATTCGGAAGATATTATAAATTCATTGGTGAGAGATTTGATCCTATCAAAGGTTATTTAGTCAAAATCAGGCATAGTTATAAAGTGACTTGTTGTATGAATCCCCTTATCAATGACACCAAACTACTTACTAAAAAAGTCAACTGTATTAGAAATTATCATGATGACTATCGATTACAATTACTAGTTTCAATGTGATTTTAAAAATTACTTTAAGGTTCTGCATTGTTATTCTACAAATTATCAAGGATCTTAACTGTATTTTATTTTCACAATTACAAACAATGTGAAGTTTCTCATTTGGTGGTATTTAAATAAAAGTAAAAATCTTTGTATTCGTTGTGAGGCTGTACTGTGAATATAGCGCACATGGAATGGAAATGATATCTATGATTATATTTCAGCAAAATATCAGTAACTTTATTTAAATGATGTGAATAGAGGAAATGTTAATGATTAAAATAAACCTATTTGCTCTATTATTCATCTACTATAAATTTACCGTGTAAGTATTAAATATTTCCATTTTCCATATTAGATGTCCTAAATGTTTAAATACAATTCAATGAAATGGAAAGCAACGTTTCCAGAGATTAAGAATTATATTCAAAACATTCCTTAGGTAGATATTTTATCTATATTAGTGTTAGATTTAGATATTTCTGTTGATTTACGTTGCGAAAAGTCGTCAACTTTTCAAATAAAACACGATTATTAAAATCATTATAAACTAGTTCCTAATAGAATAATAAATTGAAAACAAATGAACAAAAAATACCTTAGAATTACCTTAGGTATTCGTGAACCAAGCTCAGCATAACACAAGGCGTTTAAGAAAGCTGTTACACCAGCAACCAAATATGACAAGAATGTAGACGGTCCAGATTTGTCACGGATTACTGTACCAGTTAGGACGTAAATACCAGCTCCTGCCATATTACCTGAGAACAAGAAATATGAAGGGTCAATTGCATTACCTATACCCAAAAGGGTAAGGTCGAAAGCTGTTAGACATCTTTTCAAAGGAGTATCCAAGTTGTCACGATCAAATCTGCGCGATCTTTTCATAGACTCCCATACTCTTTTCAAGTGAGACTTTGCAGTTTCTGTCATCAAAAAATATTTTGAACGGTGGGAAACGAAGACATTCCTACTCTATGAAAAAGAACGTATTTACTCGAGCCAAGGAATAGTGGGCAAGAAACTGATTGGTCAATTAGAGATTCACACATATGAGAGAAGTCAATGCTAACCACAAATCTCAATTAATGAGACATTCGGGGAAGCATTTCTTAAGTCCGAATCTTTCAATTTAAGAGTTTGTTTTAAAAGTTAAAAAATAGACCCGGGTTTTCAAATTGTAACGTTACGTTTTACGTTATGTAAGTTTATGCTATGTCCAATCTTGCTGTCAGATCTTCATTAAGTATTTATTTCACCCTTAAAATTTAATTTGCAGTGGTACCACATTTGTTCACAATGTAAAATGAATCCATTTGTTCTAAAATTGGTGAATCCGAATTGCGTACACTGAAGTAATGCCCGTTTATGTTATTCAAAAAGTTTAAATTCGGTACTCGTGTTTTCTATGGTTATTTGTGCATTTAGTAACTCGTTTCAGTCACCTTTCTTGCTTTAATTGCAATGAAAGCACTCCACCAGGTTAAGCAGGATTATATAGACCTAAATACTTCAGTGTTTCTCCTTAAAACTAAAAATGCACTCTGAATCCACATTATAGTTAAGGAGCTTTAAGAATTATTACTTGGAAAATGTTTTAAGTCAAATGTATGTCCGCAGTTGTCACTAGATTGCCTATTATCCTTACGATATGGGATGGTCAACTCTCTTGATTAGTGTTATAAAAATATACTTGACCTTGGGTTTTATATTACTGCCCAAGTTATCTTGAGTTACACGCTAAGTTGACAAATGATTTTTCGTCGTTTTTGTGCAATGATGGTTGCCAGCCATTTGCAATCAACATGAAACCTTTGACAAGCTTGCATCATCTAGAGTTACCACGACTTGTCACTACAATGTAGTGAATTTGACGAAGTGAGTTAGTAGTGGTATCATTAATGGTGATACATAATATAACTTATTAACTACAAGTCTTTACTATCTAAAGATCGTATCGGATAATTTCATTTGGGGATAGGGTTCTACAAGTGAATGACGTCTTTACAAACGTTTACGTCAGTCTTCTGCGATCAAGTTCCACATTCAGTAAAACATATCTAAGAAAAGAGAGAAAAAAAATAGTCTGGCTGATGATCTTTAATGATTCGTAAATACTAGTTTGTTTTGATCATGTTAGACCGTCTAGCTCCGGAAATACAACACGTACAAGCACTCGTGCTTTTTTTTTCGGTTTATTCATCCATTACACAATCAGAGCTAGAATAAAATTGAAAAAAATATTGATAGGCCATGATAAGTAGCTACATTTATGTTCTCTTGCAGAATCGGTGAAATAAATACGCGCACAAGTTCCTGACAGAAGCGAATACTGTGATTGTAATGGTAGTCTCCCCCAACGCCAGTTGGATCTACTCATGTATCAGCATTATATCCCACTGCGACAAACAATAGCTCTAAGTGCTTAATATATCTTACGTACACTTTCCGTTCATTGCTCTTCTTGGGTTTAATCGTGCGTCAAGGTTCTCCAGCTAGTTTCCCCACTACCTGTCAAAGGTGTTTCTAAGATGTACCTTTCCAGAAAAATGTATTCTTGTATTATTGAGAAGTGAATATAAAGGTTTAGTCATTCGATAAATTCTCTCTAAGTTTTATGGTTTCAAATCCGAGTAAGTGCTCATAATAGAAAATCTCTACAAAATAAATGTTTATTAATACAGACGATACTGCTTCTCATGCTGGTCTATTTTAGGCAAGGGGATATCTTGTCTACTCAAAAGTATGTGTAAGCTGGCAAATGTCTAGCTAATATTTTCTATTCATACTTTTATTTAGTCATAAAAAAGTGTATCAAGTTTGATGAAACTTTAAAATCGGTCAATATAATTAGCCATTTAATTTTTTACTGAGTAATAGATACTAGAGGAAATAATGTCTAAGATATCTTACATTTTACAGACAAAAAACACGTCAGATGTTTTGAATCATTATGAGGAAGGGAAAGGTCAGTCTCTGGTGTTTATCATTATCGTGTACTTCGACATCCCATTGCCGTTTTCTTTTTACTATCGCTTTCGAGCAATGGCAATCCAAACTCATGTTAAATTTTTGTAACTGATGTCGTTTTGTGTGTCTGTTTTGGAACTTTCTTTACTGAAAACCAATTGCTGTTCGCTTTTTGGTACGGCAAGGTTCATGGATTAGAGGATATATCAAGCCGCCCAGTTATGTTTTCGTAAACGCCTTTCTAGGAAGTTATGGTATAATTACATATGTACATCAATCCAGTTAATATTCCACGACTACATATAAAAATACCACACTTATTTCTTCTGACTAGTCACATGGCCATCAAATAATGTTTGTCAACGAAGTTAAAAGGATACAGTGCACAGAATACGTCTATGACACTAGATCTAGTGTTTTAAGATGATATATATCGAAAAACAACTGTCACTATCTCGAAATCGGAGGCATGATTACAGGTTCGTTGACAGCAGTTCCACTGGATGTGAATAGCTTCCGTTGATACAATGGTCCTCAGACAGAGAGCCATCCAATACCATCAGCTTCTAGGGTTAAGTAGTCGAACGCGTCGACAACTTCACTTATCTTGGAAGTCTGATCAGCCCTAATGGGTTGGTGTCTGACGAAATCTCAGCACGGATTCGAAAAGCTCGTTTGGCCTTTGCCAACTTACGTCATCTATGGCGAAGGCGAGATATCCGTCTATCAATTAAGGGACGAGTATACTGCGCGGCAGTTCGTTCCGTTCTACTATACGGCTGCGAAACTTGGCCTTTAAGAGTAGAAGATATTCGTAAGTTACTAGTATTTGACCACAGGTGCCTTAGAAATATTGCGGGTATCTGCTGGGATCACCGGGTAAGTAATAGTGAGGTTAGACGCAGGGTATTAGGAAATGATGGTAAACCAGTTGATGAGGTTATGAACCTTCATCGACTGAGATGGTTGGGCCACGTGCTGCGTATGCCTGAACACCGATTACCGCGACGCGCAATGGTAACCGGTGTTAGGGATGACTGGAAGAAAGTTAGGGGCGGCCAAACCAAAACGTGGCATCAGTGCTTGAAGTCACTAACTTCTGGTCTGAGCCATGTTGGTTGATGCAGACTACCTAGTTGGGGTCCGCGTGACTATCGTAACCAATGGTTGGAGACTCTTGGTGACATGGCTCAGAATCTATCACAATGGCGTCGGTGTATTCACTCTCTGTTTTCCTTTAAACTAAGAGATTAAAATCATTTCAAATCTTTCTTTCTACGAACTAATTCTATCTTCCTGTACTATCTCCTTATACACACTCTTTCTTCTATATATTACCACCACTGAATTAACTACTTCTATGGATCCGGTGTTCATCTTGTTGTGCTAATGCGGTATGGCAGCTTGGACCGATGCATAGATGTGCCTGGTCCTACGTTGCAGCTGACTGACTGACTGATCAGCTTCTAGAGATCAACTCAACAAATCCCATTACGTTTTAATCTTCGAACGTACAGCGGCACTGATTCTCATGGAGTTTTGTTCTCTGAGATGGATGGTTTGTTCGTGGAGCTTTCATGGTTCTTCTGAACTACAGCAGCACAAACTTCAGGTAGAAGTCTACCTAGCAGAAGAACGATGAAAGCCCCACGACCAAACCATCCATTTCAGAGAACAAAACTATCAAAATCATCCACCTGAGCTACAAATCTTCCCCAGCATCTCAGCCACACTAATTCATGAATCATTTGTTTACTTCTTACTGTTTCTTCAACGTTTGTGGCAAGCCTAAATGCGAAAGAATCTATTGATCTGTCCCCAGTAGTTTTAAAATATGATGGTCTGAGATTACTGGTTGAATGAAGTGAGTTACTACCTAGTTTATATAAATCAGAGATAAGTCTATCGACCCCAATCAGTTCAGTATATAAAAAGACGTAGTTGTCATAATAATTGGTCTGATTCTCATGTTTTTGAAGTCCCATTATTCAAGCACTTGATCACCAATCGTTTTTTAGAGACACATCCTAGAAAACGTGATAGACTGTAGCCCTTGTCAATTTACTACACATAGGCATCTAGATTTTCACAAAGTACCTTAATCAAATTTAGCATGACATGTGTTATATATGCTTAACCTCATCTAGTGATGAAATGGGGCAAAGCTTGCGTAAAGACCGGGAAGCTTATTGGTAGGAGCGTGCCAATGAGTTGGAAGCAGTAGCCGCATCTGGTAACCGCTGGAAGCTCTCTCAATTCATTCGAGCCACGGGCAGCAAGAAGTCTGGTGTAAGCGAAACAATATGTGAAGATGACCGGGTGCTAATCACTAACATCCGTCGACGTCTTGGACGATGGGCAGTTTTTCGAGGGGTAAATCAACTGGTCTGCTGCCCCAGCAACATCAATCAGACTGTCCTGCCCTCCATGGCCTGTGACGACTGATCCACCAAATGAGGTGAAAGTCCGCAAGGGACTCCAACTTTTAAAGCGCTACAAATCAACGGGTTCAGATGACTTACCTACAGCCCTATTTAAAAATGGTGACGGCCTTCTGGTTAAATAAATGACTGTGTTGTTTACAAAGGTTTGGGAGTTAGAGAGTGTCCGAGCATCATGGAATGAGTTAATAATCGTCCCTCTATTTAAAAAGAGTTCACATCACCTATGCAAGAACTATCGGGGGATAAGTCTACGTCCGATCGCGTCCAAATTATTGGCTTCCATCATTCCTCGTAGATTGTTCAAAACCTTAGAAAGATTGACTCGCGAGGAGCAGGTCGAGAATGTATTGATCATATCTTCACCCTCCGCCAAATGTTAGAACACCATCATACTTATCACAGGCCAACAATCGTAGTGTTTCTTGACATCAGGGCTGCCTTTGATTCGTTGGACAGGACTGTTCTATGGAATTGTCTATTGAAGAAGGGTGTGCCTGAGAAGTTTATTAAGATCTCCTAGTTGAGGATGTTAGACGACTCTGTTTGATCATCGTTGTCTCCAAAGGATTGCTGACATCCAATGGCAACACCATGTTAGTAATACAGAGTTTCAGCATCGTGTGTTCGGGCACAGCGACGATAATTCAATTGGTGTCACTATCTTGAAATATTGACTCCGATGGCTCGGACATGTTCTATAAATGTCGTCCCAGAGAACTCCACATCGCGCATTATTTCCGGACGCTGAAACTGGTTGGAAAAAGCGGAGAGGTGGTCAGTATATGACATGGTGTCGTGGTATGAAAGAAAGCTGCAAAGGGCTGGCTTCTGTTGGTCCTTCACGACTCCCTGGCTGGGGTTCGAGAGATATTGTGTAACACAATGGCTACAGACGTTATCAGATATGGTTCAGAATAGAAGCCAAATAGCGATCCTGCTGTAAATTTATTTTACTTCATAAAAGGTGGTTATAACTTCTTTAACTGGAAGAATTCTTTCTGGTTGTACCTTTGCTAACTGAACTGCCCCTCCCATTATTATTATTATTTTACTATCATATACTAATTTTTGTTCGTGGCATCAGTCCATGACATCACTGACTGTCCGTCTGAGCCATGTTGGTAGATTCAGAATACCTAGTTGGGATCAACAGGATGACCTCGGTCAGTGGTTGGTAATTTCAGGTGATATGACGTAGAATCGTTCTCAGCGGCACAACTGAATCCCATCTTTGTCTTCATATTAATCTTGAGTTCCAGTACCCCTTCATACATAATTTTCCACTGTCTTTCCAAATCTTATTACTACAATTTAGTCTTTATTGTTATGATTGCCACTACAGTACTTCCATCTCTTGTTACTTTCATTTTGTTATGCTAATCATGTTTCGCAATTTGGGCCAAAGTACATCTGTGCCAGGTTTCGTTGACAGTATCTGTCTGTTTTGTTTTGTATAAATACCGAAAACATTCAGTAAAAGTTCAGTATTATTCTCCATGTTTGCCAAAATGCGATGAGAAGTATCCCTGATGTCCCTAGACCGACACATTTAACTATCGAATGTCTTTTTAAAGTCATGTGCTAAAATGCGTTTTCTCAAGTTCCTCATGTAGCTGTCATCTCGATATGGTAATCGGTTTGGTCTGTCATCGTAAGCAAGATTTATTAACTCAAATGCCTGCTCTTTAAGGTTCTATGTCAAGCGAGTTGAAAGTAACTAGACCAGAATTATTAAGTTTGATTATACCAATTAAATTAGATAAGCACGCCAAAAATCTCACTCATGTAGGGATAGTATCAGTCCTATTTGTTTGGTGTCATAAGAATCTCAGCATTCACACAAAACATTCGTTTTACATTCGTCAGGTCACTCCGCATGTAGTGCAGCCAAGATATATGGTTGTTGATTGATGACAGTATGTTTTGTACAGTAGTTTTCATTTAAGTCGAGGAGATTGAACTACTTGGTTGGGTTCCGCGTGACTATCGTAACCGATGGTTGTTGACTCTGGGTGACATGGCTCAGAATCGATCACAATGGCTTAGGTGTATACACTCTTTGTCTTCCCTTAAACTGTGAGATTAAAAATCGCTTTATATCTTCCTTTCTACTAACTGATTATTTCTTCATGCACTATATCCTTCTGCATAATCTTTTATATATTAATACCATTGAAGTAACTACTTCTATTAGATTGGTGTCCATCATGTTGTGCTAATGAGGTATGGCAACTTGGATTAATTCATATATTCTCCTGGTCCTACGTTGTAGATGACTGACTGATTAGACCAAAATTATTCTAAGTGAAAGACGCACTCTGGATGTGACCAACCAGAAGCGGCGTCAGGTAACAGTTTTGATCATACTATTCGTCATAGAACTGCTAGCGTTTTGTTAATGTACAGAGTGTGCAGGTTGGAGGTTATATGCAAGGGTTTAAGTAAGTTTTTTGGTAAGATTGTAAGTCCTTTTGGAGGGAGCAGTTGAGGCATATTTTACGTAGATCTACTCACAGCACATCGTGTGATATTTATTGTTTTAAGGGTAGTCAAACCAAAAGTTAGTATCATTTCATGAAGTCATTAGCTGTTGAACTGTCCCATCTTGATAAGTACAGACTAACTGGTTGAGTTTCTTGCGATTGTCGTAAACAATAATTGGGAATTCTGGATGACATGGCTTTCATTCTTCTTCTTCTTCTTCTTCTTCTTCTTCTTCTTCTTCCCTCGACTTTAGAATTATCTCATACTTCCCACTCCTCAATTCTATTTCCCCTGAATTATGTCATCAATATTTATTGTTTTCAACTACCAATGATACTGTTACTAATTCTATCACTCTAGCATTTGTCTTGATGACTTCTCTCTATGTTGGTATAATGTGTCAATTTAAATCGATGCAAAATATGCTAATTTCGATGTTGCTCATGACTCCCTGTCTGAATATCACATTGAATTCTATAGTGATTATAAATTAATCTTCCAATACACATCACGAAATTTCACACATACTGAACTGTTTTATTGTTATTTCATCGTTTCCTATTTTTATTTATAATTAATGCCTTTTTTATTATTTTTGTACAGAAAATCTTGTAGTGTTTATGCATACCAATAACGAGAGCAGTCAAATTTATTCAAATTGTACATTCACATATTATCTACGAAATGCAACCTACTTGTCGATTGACACATGGTTACTTTCATTATAAATACTGAAATAGCATACGATTAATTATTAGCTTCAGTTGATTATTTTCATCTCGTTAATTTTTGCGATAAAACTTTGAAAAAGATCTTTATTTTCAATGCTTCATAATAAGTCTGAGTCATTCGCACCTTCTATTGGAAATGAATTGACTAGAAATTTTAAAAATCTTGGTGAACCTGTGTATGTAAATGTATATCATTTGGTGAGTATCATATTTTACTTTTAAAATATACATTCTTTCACTTAGCATTGGCCTAATGGTTTAAAAATGGGTGCTTATCATACTGGAACCGTAGTATACGATAGAGGTAAGTGGCAGTTTTATGGTGGAATTTTAAATGTTATTTTTATTTTTCCATTTAGAATTCGGTTTTGGTGGACATCCATTTGCAAGTAGTGGTATCTTCCAGACTACACCAATGGATATTGATAGTTTAGGTGAAGAAATTTCATTCAAGTAAGTCTTAGTTGAACTAAATGTTTTTGACTTTTCATCAAATATTATGTTAACATATGACGTTTCTCCACAATTGTGCAACAACAAATGCATCATTTAAATCAAAGTGACTATGTTAATAAGACAGAAAATTATACCACTAACAAAGTTTTTAGAGACAAATGACCGAAAAAGAGCAGTAGTAGAACAGAGTTCATTTCTCAATTTACATGTTACTTGATCATATATAAGTCAATCAACAATCGATCTGGTTGCCAGTGAAATGGATTTTAAGTGTTGTCTGTTGATGTCTCCAGGTATTTAGTTTCACAACCTCTATAATCCCATTCAAGCAAGGTATAAACTGAATCTAGTTATGCGCCTCTGCTACTCCTAGGATTGCTTATTTACTAACAAAATACCCGTCCTTCACGTCTGCTTCTAGAACTTTGAAATAAATAAGTTAACTCCGCCGCATACTTATTCATAAGGGATACTCTTAGTGTGATGGTTAATGATAATATTCAGCCCCCAAACCAAAGTAAGCACAACGGGGTTCGAACCTGAGGTTAAGTGGCTGGAAATTTCATGCCTTAGACACTAATTATTTTGCTTTGTAATAGAACGTATGCTTGTGCTTTCCCTACCTTTTTGATCATACTTTTGAACCAAAAAATGCAAAGTGCATACTACCAGGTTTATCAACTCTGAGCTATTTTATATCCTAAACAAATCTCTTTACGTTAGTTTTAAACTCGTCAATACTACATGAGTTTTCGTGGTTGTTAAAGTGAGTCAACATTAGACAAATGTCTAAATAAACATTTTAATGACTGTCTAAACTTTATAAATTGTTGATATTAATTTAATTAATTCTATTTATTGAGAAAAGATTTGGATGAATCTTTTACTTCTCATTCTAGGCATGTGTCGTATTACTTTGTTCACACCTTCATAGTATATTGATACAAAATATAATAACTTGAATCGGTGTTACTACTCTCATATCCTTGAATTAATTTGATCCATCAACTAGTAATTATTTTGTATCTTCCAGTACTCAGTTGAAAGTGAATATCGTATATTTTCAACGGAGCTGATTTGATCAAATGATCATTCCTTTTGTTAATTCTTATGCATAAATTTCCGTTCAAACCAGTTGATCAGTTTTCATTCTTATACCTAATCTAGACTTTTTATTTTAAGTGTTTTTAAATCGTGATCAGATGTTATGCGTTAGAATATAATATCACATTCTTCTAATCGTCATTTTTACGGTTGTAAGCATACTGTTCGTATTATTCACCGGTCCTCTTATAAATCTGTAAATCTTCTAGAAGATATAGTGACTCATTCAAATGAATCTTTTGTGTTATTGACAATTTTTAGTGAAGTCACGTTTTATATATTCTCATTTTGTGTTGTGTGATTCCTTTTAGCTTTTAACTGTCAATCCTATACCATATTGCTGTGTAAACAATGTTACTTATAGACTATCTTAAATATGTACTCCATACATGATTCGCCCAAATGTATATCTATTCACTGTAGCATACATTTAACACTCATCTTCGTTAAAGTATGAGAATTTCAAATGGAAATAATCAATTCATTCTTATTCTTGAAAACACTGCGGCTTAGTAATTAAAGTATTTAGGTTTCAACCAATAGATCCAAAGTTCAATCCTTGCTCTATCTAATTCTACTTAGACAGCCGAATAGTATCATCAATGTGGCTCAGAGTACATAAGTTTGTATTATTCCAAGCAAGTTACATTATCAATCAGATCATTAAAAACTATTTAATTTTGACAGTTATGAATGACAACTATGTTTGTTCATTAGAGATCTTTTTGATGATTCGATAATTATAGTAATGATTAGTTAGTCAATTGGTAAAATATCAAGTTATGTAGTGAATTAAAAATGACAATTTAGAAATCTGATGATTCATGCGTTAAACCAAGGGCCGCTTGCATTATGTCTGGAGAAAGTTAAATAGGGATCAAATGCCCACACCATTATTACTACACATAATTTGGGCAAGAATACCTAACAACAGTGTTTTCCTGACTGGGGATAAACTCCACTCTCGTTTTCTATTTTGACTTTGGGCCTGGCAATCAATCAAAATGAGGTGGGAATTATTATTTACGCTATTGTAATTCTCACACACCGATTAATTTTATGGTAGAAAGTATTCCAAAATATCCACAATAAGTGACTAAATAAACGAAAACTTGGCTCCAAATACTGACTGGAATACACTTAAATGACTTGACAGCGTGGAGTTCATTCCCACTCATTTTTATTACTTTAATATGTGTATAATGATGTATAAACGTAAATCAAACTTAAAACCAAATTAATATCTACTCACAAATGAATATTACACCAAATGATTCGTTTAATAACTTCAAAAATATCATTCCCCATAAAATATTGTTTTATTTTTTCTATTAATTCAGAGAAAGATTATATATGGGTCGGACGTACTTATCGAAAAAAGCTGTAGAACGTTTACTTGCTAGTTTAGCTGATGAATTCCGTGGTGACGCTTACCATTTATTACATTTCAATTGTAATCATTTCACTTCACAGTTTGTTGATGTAAGTGTTATATGTTATGCTTCTCCTAATTTTTATTTTATATAATTTATGTAGTTTCCTTTCAAAACATAATGACACATTACTACTATTTGTTTCTATTGGATTATTTGACATTTTTATCAGAATAATTTTCTGCCCGGAAAAACAATCTATAACCGAAACCGCATTGATTTTATTAGCTGTTATCAACTAGATTAATAGGATATTTGTAAGTTCTATTTGTCAAAGACTGAAATCAGCTAGGGTACCACTGGAAGATACTGAACAGCAGTTTCTTCCCACCATAGAACGCCTCAAAACTATGCTCTAACAGTTTTTACCTGAGATCATGCTCAGGATCTTCAGGGTTCGCTATCAGCACGTTATCCTCAGGTCACTGAGTTAGTGCGCTTAATAAAAGTCCCGTACTGAGATAAAAATTGTTAAACACTCCCTTTTTGATTGATATTTCAACTAACGTGAATGTCACATACAAATAAAATTGATCCTCACAAACCTTACAGCAGGGAAAATAATTGAATATTTGTTAATTCTCTTGGAAAATGATCATGAAAACTTCTAACCAACCATACATTTCTAAATTTTGTTATCATATTTTAATTATAACGTTTTATCATGTTTATTGAATCAAACTGGTTTGAAGTTTATAACCGTACATTGTTAGTTTCAATAAATAAACATAACTCTATATGTTTGTGTGTTCTAGAAGCATGTCTTTATAAAACAATCAATTATCGGTTCACAGATTAACCTTTCACGGGTTGATACACAGGTTTTCAATTCTCAGGTAAATAGATTAGATTAATTATTCATTATGTACTGAATGCTATCACAATTATATGCGTCTTCTCACACACCTAGCTTATCTCGAATATATTTATTTACTGAATTCGGATGTACTCTTCAAACAGGATATTAATAAAAGTAGCTCTTACAAATCGGGAAGTGTTGAGAAACTGTTTCATATGTTCCTCGAAATCATCGTGATCTTTAGGTTTCCCGGTGGAAAAGCTTGTGCTTCAAATACTACGTGTGTCTTGTTCAATTAATTGGCATGTTGAAAACTTAGCTAAAAATGAAAATAGTAATCATTGACAAAAAGTTGAGTTTTTCAAAAGAGGAATATGTCCTACTGTTGAAATGTTTTCTGAGCTTAAGAGGACCTTTAGTAGTATGAAAGTTTACACATTCTTCATTCCTTATCTTGGAACATATTTTCGGATAATGTCAGTTTGTAATAATTGCATTCAAACTATTAATGAACAAACAGTAAACTGATTTCTAATATTATTACTACACAGATTTACCGGGATTATTGACCCTCATAGTTTATACCCTGGGCTGATTATAGATAGTTACTGGAAACCAGGAAGCACTGAACAACTATTTTGTCCTCGGCATGAGATTCTTGGACAGTGCATATCCACGACTCCATTAGGGATCAAACACAAGACTTTAAGTTCATGATATAAACTATGATTTGTATTTGTGTGACAATTATTTACTCTTCATTTCTCTTGAATTTTCTTCATTATATAATATTCAATATATGTCTAGGATGCTTCAACGTATTTTAGTGTAACAGTAAACCTATTGAAAAAACAATGTTAATTATTTTTATACTTATTTTTTATTTGTAATGCCTCATTATAATCACCGGGATACTTGTTCTTGTTTTACAGTTACTATCTTGAATAGGTGACTTAAATCTTCAAGGGCATTGTTGTATTTCATGTTGAACTAACCTGTAAAAACCCAGAGGCATAACTGTAGAACTTTCTGAATTAGAGTATGCTTTATAAAACGCATTATATCTCTTTAAAATCGTTAGCATACTAGTGCTGTATCTTGTGTTAAATAGGCTTTTGTTATTCAGTCTTATTTCCTTCAGTCTTCTGTTTATTCTTTGACCTTTAGTTTATTTAAAAAACATAAATTCAGTTGTGTAAGGTTCAGTCATTCGGATATATACTCCATTTCAAGTAATTTCTACGCAAACTATCTACTAATACAATAGTATACGATATTTCGCTTTGTGAATAATTTTATTTATTTATTTATTTTAACACATAAGTATAGGTACAGGGAGGCACCAAATATATATGCGCCACACGAATCTCAATTGATTTGTGTGAGGGCTATGATACTGCCCGGGTGCCCAAACCGAAGAAGGTGGTTTTCTTAGGGGGCCCCCAAATGCCCTGGTACGGCTGAGAGTGGGGAGAGTCCACTCCCTCTCGAAATGCTCTCACATGGCCATGCGTATATAGCCTCTGCCAGCGAAGTCCTACTCACTGCCTTCACGTGGCGGGGGTGTTGTTTACGAAAATGAGAGGACGAAAAGCGAATATCTGGCGCTTTAACCGGGTCCCAAACCAATGATGCACATGGGCTCCAGTATCCTGAAGGAACAAATGACGTATGAACCAATCGTTGGTCACCGGCTACCATGGGTCTGCATCTCCTCACGATGCTCCACTGCCTTGTGGATCAGATGTTCAGGTCGAAGGCTCGGGGTGTGGCCCTTTAAGAAAACCACCTTCTTCGGTTTGGGCACCCGAGCAGTATCACAGCCCTCACACAAATCAATTGAGATTTGTGTGGCGCATATGTACTTGGTGCCTCCCTGTACCCATACTTATGTGTTAAAATAAAATAAAATAAAAATCGTGAGGAGATGCAGTCCCATGGTAGCCGGTGACCAACGATTGGTTCATACGTCATTTGTTCCTTCAGGATACTGGAGCCCATGTGCACCATTGGTTTGGGACCCGGTTAAAGCGCCGGACATTCGCTTTTCGTCCTCTCATTTTTGTAAACAACACCCCCGCCACTAGAAGGCAGTGAGTAGGACTTCGCTGGCAGAGGCTATATACGCATGGCCATGTGAGAGCATTTCGAGAGGGTGAGCGGACTCTCCCCACTTTCGGCCGTACCAGGGCATTTGGGGGCTTTGTTTAATAAGATTTCCTTTTTTATATTTATTCTAAAATTGACTTTTTTCCCATCGATGACAAATAAAGGGTTCTCAATGTGTTGAACTTAAGAGTTGTATCTACTTATCGGTCTTTTTTTATTCCTTATTGACAACGGAATTACATCAGTCACATTTTCAGTTTAACCAATAAGCTTAGTAGCTAAGTATCTCACTTCATTTTGTTTCATGTTGTGTTGTTGAAGACAATTTACAAAATTCTATATAGTTTTTTGTGGTTTTTTTGATTACAAACTAGATGGATAGAATTCGATCAGAACTATGAGCTAGGGAGTAAGACGTTGATTTCCACTCAGTTACATATTACACTTAATCCACATCTATGACAAATTAATAACTGTTTGATGTTATATGTTTTATTCTTTGACTGAGTTTTAACTTACTCGAGTTGTGTTTTCGACTGGAACACAACAAGTTTATCAACAAAATGTAAAACAAACAGCCAAAATGTTCTACAATAACAGCACATTTTAAACTAATGTATTCTTACTTTGGCGACCAACTTGATGTTTATTCGGCGTTTATTCAGCTTCTAGAGATAACATTTTACCCATCTGTTCTATAAAAATTTAGTATCTCAATGGAATTTCCGTGATTGACGTTAAGTATGTAGGTAACATCATCCTGTTTACTGAAATCCTTTGAGAAATACAGCCTTGTGAGTACGATCTAGTGTTTTAGGACAACTTATATATCGAAAAACAACCGTCACTATCTCGAAATCGGAGACATGATTACGGGTTTGCTGACAGCAGTTCCCAGGTAAAGTCACCTTATTGTTCTTAGTGTCGTATTGTTTGGTTATTAAAATAGCTTATTAACTATTCTTCCAGGGGTTACTTGTTATAAGGAAAAAAATCTTAGGATCCCTATTATTATTATTATTATTATTATTATTATTATTATTATTATTATTATTATTATTATTATTATTATTATTATTATTAGCTTTATTCAATATTATATTTTTGGCAGAACATAGAATTCTCAGCAAAAAGATATCATCATCACTAATTTTCTTGAGTAAATAATTAATAAAGTTCTCCAAGTTATATATACATATATTTATTCATCGATATAGGGTTGTGGAGATTTTTTTTGATTAAAAATCTTGTATTTCAACTAGTAAACTTTATTGACTTCATGTGGTGTTAAATAATCACATGCTCTATATCAGTGCTTTATAATCAATAGTATATGAATCATTTGTGGACTTTGATAAATTATCGCAGTTATTGGTCGATTAAATCTTTTATTTTTTTTTTTACCAGTTATTGTACTTCACATCTATATTTCTCCTTATTTTCGTGCTAGCCATCTTATAGTTCTTTAGTTACGTTTTATGATTATCCGATACTTTAAATCTAATCTGTACACGTGCAATTAGCCAACTGTACTGTACCAAGAGTCTTGTAATTTACATAGCTTATATAATCACTAGAAATGTATTTTTAAAATTGTAAATCTATGTTAATCATCAGAAAATTCAGTCGTTCATTTTACGTGTTTGTGATTTAGTTGTCTTTCTTATCGAAACTTGACTGGTAGCTCAATAATTTAAATTCAATCTAGACAGCCACGTACCATCGATACATTGTACACATCAGGTGTGGTTTTTTAATTTATATTTGTTTATGAAGTTATCTATTTGTTGTTGTCTAGATTTACTTTATCAAACTTTTAATTCAATCATTATACACATTTCTGTTATGGTTATTAAAAGTATACCATAAAATCATTATCTACTTTATTAAGTCATATGACTAATAATAATAGTAGATTATTTAGAGTTTGCTGTTTTGAGTCTTTAGCATTTTAGCTTATCTTGAAGAATAATTACGCGACTTCAAAAGATACACTGGGATCATGCAGAAATCGATAACTCGATAAAACTCGCTCGACTAGGGTTATTGAAATTGGTAGAATAATCTCATGGATTGAGGTTAACTCTGGAGGTTTAAAAATAAGAAAGATTAAATCTTAGTATGGATTGTTGTCCCCTAAT